TTTTTTCTGACCACAGTGACTTTCTGATCGTTTACCTGGACCCTCCAAAATATGGAATGTAAGAGTTAACTGAAAATTATTTCTAAAAAAGCAGAATGCCCAAAACACTGTTTGGTATCAAAAAACTTTTCAAGGCTGGATTCCTTTCCTTTCCTTTCCTTTCCTTCCCTTCCCTTCCCTTCCTCATTCCTTTCTCTCTCCTTCCTTCTTTCCTTCCTCTCCTCCTTTCCTTCTCTCTGCTTTACTTCACACACCAAATGAGTAGACAACTTGAAGCCAGCTTGTTTAACTTATCAATTCCACTAAAAGTTCTGTCCAAGAGCAGCCATTAAGTTCCAATCAAAGCTAAGGCAGCACAGCCCAGTGGTGTCAGACCCCAGAATCAAAAGGGGCTTCTAAAAGAGAGGCAGTAATGTATATTGGTTAGTGGATAATCCACATTCAGCCAGGGAGCTTTCTAGATGGACTTTGAATTAGCTCCTTTGTCATAGAGTAGACCAACCTACTTTGCAGAGTCCCAGGGCTTGGGGAAGGGGGGGGGGAATAAGAGGCCAAGTTATGCCTGCCCCCTTGAACTATTTTATGAAAGGTGGGGTTTTCATCTCATAAATAAGTGGATGCATTCAGTGCCCCCAAAGCATTCCCCTCTCAAATCCATCGGCATTCAGACACACATACACACCCCATGCCAGCTCAAAATTATTGTGCATGAATGCATATTTGCTTTGCAGTCCATGCACATTCTTTTCAACATCAAAAGAAAGGGAGAAATTAAAGACACCAGTCCTGCCATACACACACACATACACACACACACACACACACACACACACACACACCATACACACAAACACCACACACACACACTCCCAAGGAGAAGGGGGAAAAATGAGTGGAAGAATTAAAGAAAAATTTAGTTTAACTCTGGGCACCAAGACCAGCATTGCCTCTTCTAACTTAAGTCCATCTTTATGCCCAGGGACCCACAGCCCATCAACCCACCAAGCCAGCCATGGGGCCAATCTTGACTTGAATTCCAGGCCCTCCAAAACTCTCTAGAATAAGTTTGCATTTATACAGGTCGTCCTTGAGTTAGGATTATAACTGAGGCCAAACTTCATGTTGCTAAGCAAAATATTTGTTAAGCGAGTTTGCCCCATGTTACGACTTTTCTTGCCACAGTGGTTAAGTTGATGTTAAGTTAGCAACATGGTTGTTAATTGAATCTTGATTCCCTTGACTTTGAGGGTCAGAAGGTCACAAAAGGGGGGGTCATGTGACCCCCGGGGAAACTGTGACCATCATAAATATAAACCACTTGCCAAACGTCTGAATTGTGATCATGTGACCCTGGGGATGCTGCAACGGTCGTAAGTATGAAAAATGGTCGTAAGTCGCTTTTTTCAGCGCCATTGTAATTTTAAACAGTCACTAAATGAACTATTGTAAATTGAAGACTACCTGTAATTAAAAATACACAAAATGGAGCAGCTCAGAAATAACCCTCAGAATAGGCAAGGTGAATGGAAAACGGTTTTCTGTCTCCAGCAGTTAAAGACTGCTGAAACGCAAAGACTTCTGTTAGGTTAGGAGAAATCCCAGCTACAGTAAAATCTGCTACAGTCCCATCCTATCAAACAGCCAGAAATCCGGTTTTCTACCTGTGCCGATGGAAGCTATTCTCTGATGTTTTGACGAGGTCTGCTTGTTTTTTCCCACCTGCATCTCTACACAAACAGTAGCACTGAAGAGGACCTCAAGAGACTTAGATGCTATCTGAGAAAGTACATCTTCTTTCAGAGAATTTCCCCCCACCCCCCAAATTAAAAGGTCATGAGATCATGCTTTGATGGAAGAAAACAAGCCAAGGAGAGCAAGCAACAGGTTAACTGATTTGCTTTGGCTAAATTGGTGTTCAATTTACCTATACTGCTAAAAACCAAAAACTAGGCAAGATTGTCACCGTTTCCAGGACAAGAAACGACAGATGAAAGCTTATAAAGGAGAGATCCAGCATAGAACTAAGGATAAATTTCCTGATGGTTAGAACAATTAATCAATGGATCTACTTGTCTCCGGGAGTTCTGGGTGCTCCCTCCCTGGAAGATTTTAAGAAGGAATTAGACAGCCACTGGTCCCAGCTGATATAAAGTCTCCCTGCTTGAGCAGGGGGGTGGACTTGGAGACCTTCAGGGTCCCTTCCAGCTCTTTTATTCTATGTTCTGTGTTCACTTTTAAACCACATCTTTTGTATAAAGAACCACATTAAATGGGTTATTTAATTTCTTGTTATAGTATCAGAAACAAAAGAAATATTTTTCAAGGAAAATAAATGTCTCTTTTATTTGGAGGTTCACCCATTAAACATTCGCCTTCCTGAAGAACAGAAGACCCAAACTGTCATCCCGTTTACGTTCTTAGTTAAAAAAAAAAAAAAAACTGCAGTCGTCCATTTAATTAAGTGAAGGGCAATTTACTTTTGAGTGAAAGCTCTATGATCTTGGTGACAGATCTAAGATTGGGCTGAAGGCGTCTCAGGAAAGCTATGACAGTTCCTGCCCTCCCCAATCTCTTTCAGTTTGTAGATGTTTCTCTTTCTTTCTTTCTTTCTTTCTTTCTTTCTTTCTTTCTTTCTTTCTTTCTTTCTCTCTTTCTCTTTCTCTTTTTCTTTCTTTCCACTTGTCCACCTTCCTTCCTTCCTCTACCTCCCATCCCAGCCTGCCTGCTGCTGGCTTCCCTGGGCAAAGGGGTGGGGGCTTCTAAGCTTTAGGATAAGACATTTTTAAAAGAAGCAGAAAAATAAAGAAGGATGACTGGAAGAATCCAAGATTGTGAAGTATCTATTTTTATTGCTATTGTTCAACGTTAGGCTACTTTAAGATAGCTGGCTAAATGCATCTTTTAAATAAACGAATGAATGAAATAGCCCTAAAGAAAGTAGGGACCGCGTCAGATTTGGAATAAGCTTACCTCAAAGTAAGAAAGGAAGAGGGAAGCATTGAGGTTCTGGGGTGAGGTCAGAGCGGCGGCTTAAAGGCAGATATGCCAGAATTAGTCCTGGATCTGAAGGCAGAATTCACAGAGCTGTTTGGGGACAGTTCCTCACAGCCTGTCCTACCTTGCAGGCTTGTCTTTGCTGGGATAAAAACAAGTGTAGGTCAAAGACCATACCAAAGATAGAACTTATTTATTTGATTTTTTTAATCCCACCTTTATTACTGAATCAGTAAAGCAGCAAACATTCTTAAAACTCCCTCTTCTGCCTGTTTGCCCCACAACAACAACTCTGAGGTGAGTTGGGTTGAGGGAGAGCGGGGGGGGGGGCACTGGCCCAAAGCACCTTGAGAGGTGCCAAGATGCCCCAAATCTCCCTAGAGCGCAGATGGTCTTTTCTTTCTGGTTAGTGACCGCAATAACGTTATTTTATTTGGGTGTTTTATTTCTCTCTTTCAGAAAACCGAGATCCACCGAGAATTCATGACCCCAAAACTGTGGCTGTTCCTCAGCCCCCCCCCCCCCAGCACCACCACCCCGACTTCCTGGGGGCCGAGAACCCCCCCCCCCCACTCAGGAGGAGCACGATGAAGGGGCCAAGCTCCTTCTCCGGGGGGGGTAGAATTAAACGCTCTGATTCCAAGTCGTTTGGAAGATGGGGCCTGGGGGTGGGGATGGGGGGGCACGGGAGAGAGGGAGAAGACTTCCCTGGAGTTAGCTCTGATTTGGCTGAGAGTTGGAAAGAAAGGAAGAAAGAAAGAAAGAAAGAAAGAAAGAAAGAAAGAAAGAAAGAAAGAAAGAAAGAAAGAAAGAAAGAAAGAAAGAAAGAAAGAAAGAAAGAAAGAAAGAAAATGGGAAAGGAAAGGAAAGACCTATTTAACAACCGAGTCCCGTGTCTCTGGCCGAAAGTCAAACCGCCCGCAGGAATTGCTTACGAGGCGGTTCGCAAATCGGCGAGGATCCGAAGTGAAATCGGTTTTGACCTGGGACGGTTCCGAGGACCTTCCTGGGCGAGTTTCCTGGAACTAAAGTAATCAAGAGCCTGCGCTTCGGTCCGTCCGCCCGCCCGCCTGGCCTTTTTCTCTTTCTCTCCAATTCTTTGCTAATTTCTCCCCTCCCCCCCCGCGTAAAAACAAACAAACAAACAAACCTGGCTAGCTTGAGCCTTGTTCCCTGGGCAGGGCTGGGAGTCGAGCGGACGCGGAAGAAAAGACCCGGGGCCCTTCCGTTTCCACCAGCTCCGAATTCCTTTCCCAAACCCCAGCTTAATTCACGCTTCGAAAGAAAGCGTGGTTAAAGGAATAAATTAAACCGTTGCAATCCCGGGGCCCGTAAACGGAGGAGAGGCAGATATATATATATTGTTTTAAAGACTAATCTAGTCTAACTTCTCCCCAGATTCGGAGCGGCTCTGGATCCTGCGTCCTTCCAGCTTCCCGGCATAGCGGATTATGGACCCTTCCGGCTGGGCCTTATTGGCAGATTAGTCCCCCAAAGCGGGACAAGTCTCCCCAGCCGCGGCTGCCGCGCGGAAGACGAGGTTTCCGATCCACGCGCGAAAGGGGTTCCCCACGGAGGGAAGGGCTGCCTACCGCTTCTCCTTTACTCTAAACCCGCCGCAGGCCCAGATTCCCTTCCCTAAATCTCGGCAGCGTCATCTGGCCTTGCTCTGTCGAGATTAAACTTTTATATGTTTCATGGAGGTCCCTAAAACCGAATTAAGTCCCTAGAGAGGAAGCGGCTCGTTTGAGATTCAGAACGGCAGCCTAGATTAGAAGGTCCGGTTTAACTAGTTCGGTGGGCCCGGCCTAAGCCTAACCTAAAACTCTGAAAAGTCCACTGATACCCCCCAGCCATCACCCCTCCCCCCGCGAATCCGAAAACAGAGATTTTTTTTTTTCCACGCACACAGGATCTAGTCTGCAATGCCCCAAAACTGCAGCTTTCCAGACTGGAGAGTAGGAATTGTCAGGAAATGGCAAAAATTGACACAAGATGCGCTTTTGTTTCAAAGGAGAAATAAACAGCACGGGTTTATTATTCTTATTTGTCCAAAAGAATGAATACAACAATTGAAGACCACATAAAATCAAAGCGATGTGAGGAAAGGCTCAAAAAAAAAAAAAAAAAAAAAGGGAACGGGACTCTATTTTACAAGAAAAATAAAATAAAGCTCACTTCTGCTTTTTCTTTCCCCACTTTTTTTTTAAAAAAAAGTATTTGGTTTGCCCACCCTCCTCTTTTTATTATTCCACTTTTGGGGGGCAGGAAAATATTCAACAAGGAAGGGAAAAATAAATTATTCATATAAAAAGACTAACTTTAAAAAGAAGGGGATTTTTTTTAAATGCAAGTTTGTACATAAAACTAAAGAAATAAGAAGAAAAGCATAATTCATTTGGCAGCTGTGGGGTAGGGGGGGCTGAGAGACGAATAATCCAGTGACCTCAACTTTAAATATTATATTAACGGCCCTGCACGGAAGCCCAATTCAAAAACCACACATATTTACAACATTATAAATGGAATCATCCCCTCATTAAAACAAAACCAACCATGTCGAGACGTATTATACATTTATATTTATATAGCGTATCCATTATTATTTTCTCCTTTTCAAAATTGCATAAGCTGTCCTTGTGGAATGGGCGATTTTCCATTGCCCCCTCATCGCCAACATATTGTTTATCCATTTTGACTCCTATATTATTATTGTCGTTAGTATTTCTGTTCGAGAAAACCCCCAGCCCAGGTCACGCTGTCCTTTTTCCGTTTCTAATGTTGGCTGTTTTAATTTCTTTTGCTTTCCCCCCCTCCCCCACGACTGGAAAGATGAGTTGGGAAAAAAAATATCGAATTTTCGGGTTCTTTATTGACTTTGGACGGGAAAGGGGAGGGGGCGATTTTTCTCCCTTTTCTTTCTTTCTTTTTTTGTCCTTTCTTTCTTTCTGCCCAAGTCTGTAAATCTGTTTTTAAAAACAAAACAACCAAAAAGAAAAGGAAAAAAAAAAAAGCCCCAAACCACCAGAGTCAATTTGGTTGGCTTTCCCCAACTACGTTTTAAACACAGAGGCCTAATTTTTCCTTCTAGTCCGCCTGCTGCGTCGGGGGCCAGGCGCCCCCTCCCCCCCATTCCCGGGTCTCCTCTGTCCCTCTGTCTGTCTGCTTAACCCGGAGTCAGCTCAGTATTTAGCGCAGTCGTAGGAATAAGGGGCGGAGTGGCGGTAAATGGAGGGCGGAGCCCGGTAGGAGAGCTCGCAGGTGGAGTTGGGGCTCACCTGTTGCTCGTTCAGCGCCGTCGAGGTCTCTAACCCCAGCCGGTGAGTGTTGAACATTTCCCGCACGTTGGGGAAGCTCTGTTGCTGGGCGCCGAAGGCGTGGCTGGGCAGCGGCTGGTTGATCTCCGACGCGTGGTTCAGGTACCAGGAGGCGGCGGCGGCGGCTGCAGCGGCGGCGGCGGCGGCGGCTTGCCCCGGGGCCTGGTGGTGCGGGAGGGGATGATGGTGGTGGTGGTGCCCGGGCTGGTGGTGGTGGTGGCTGGGAGGGAGGGAGCTCTCCGGCGGCGGCGGCGGCTGCTGCTGCTGTCCCCCTGGCGCCAGGTTCAGGCCGGCCAGGGGCGAGGGGGCGCCGTTGGCCACTTGCGGCGGGGGCTCGGACAGCGAAGCCGCGGCCTCTTCCAGCGCCCCGGCGCCGCAGAGATGCGCGTTGCGCTCGCCCGTGTAGAGGCTCATGGCGCGCATGCTGCACTGGTAGCTGCCCCCCCCGGCCTCGCCCAAGCCCCCCTGGCTGCAGGCCTGGCTGTAGAGGGACGAGGCGGGCGCCGGGCCGTAGCCTAGAGGCAAGGAGGAGGAGGAGGAGGAGGAGGCGCAGAGGCCAGGCGGCGCCCTGCCCACGGGGCTCAAGTCGGCGCCGGGCGAAGTCCGCAGAGTCATGATGTTCTCCACGCTGAAGCCCGGCAATCCGTTGGCGGCGGCGGCGTGGTGGTGGTGCGGGTGGGCGTGGGGCTGGTGGGGCTCGCCCGGCAAGGAGCCCTCGGTGGAGAGCGAGCGCGTGGAGGCCACGCTGCGCGGGCTGTCCTGCAAGGCGCTGCCGCTGGCCGGGCTCAGCGTCTCCACCTTGGTGATGACGGGCAGCTCGGGCGAGGAGGCCTCGCTCTTGATGACCACCTTCTTCTCGGACGGGGCCACGGCCGAGGCCGGGACGGGGGCCGCGGCCGGCGGCGGCTCCTTGCCCAGCTCGGCAGCGGCCTTGACCGGCTCCTTGAGGTGTTTCTCCCGCAGGCTGTCCTCCTTCTCCTTGGAGACGTCTTTCTTCTTGAAGCGCCTCCGGCGGCGCAGGAAGGAGCCGTTCTCAAACATGTTGTAGGAATCGGGGTCCAGCGTCCAGTAGCTGCCCTTGCCGGGCTTCTTGTCGTCGCGCGGCACCTTGACGAAGCACTCGTTGAGCGAGAGGTTGTGGCGGATGGAGTTCTGCCAGCCCTGCTTGTTCTCCCGGTAGAAGGGGAAGCGCTCCATGATGAACTGGTAGATGCCGTTCAGGGTGATCTTCTTCTCCGGCGCGTTCTGGATGGCCATGGTGATCAGCGCGATGTAGCTGTAGGGCGGCTTCACCAGGTCCTTCGGGGCTTGGACCGGCTGGTGGCCCGGGTAGGGCCCGTAGGAGCGTCCCAGGCCGGCCGCGTACTGCTCCGGGTGGCCGGCGTAGACCCCCAGCGAGCTGGCCATGCCCCCATAGGTGCCCGCCGTCCGGTAGTAATTCTGCTCGCTCAAATAGGGTACCACTCCCAGAGCGTTGGGATCCGAGACGGAGTAGCGAGCCTGCATGGTTGGCCCAGCTCCGGGAGGGCGAGGAGGCTTCCCGCCGCCGCCCTCCCCCCAAAAGTAAGGGCGCGGGCCCGCCCAGGAAAGCCGGCCCCTGTGCCAACGGGGCGCCCTGCTCCGGAGACCCCCCCGAGCCTTTCCACGGACTCCTCCGCCGAAGCTTCTCCTCGGCCGGTCCTCCTCGGGTCTTGGGTTAAGAGGCCCGCCGAGCCGAGCCCGCTTGCTTCATATTCAGATCTTTTGCAAAAGGGTCGGCAAGCTCCGGTCTCTGCTCCTCGCTCGCTCGCTCGCCTCCTCCCACCCTCCCCCCGTCGTAAAAGTGCAGGAGGAGGGCGAATGTGCTCCTGAAGAAAATGATGGAGGGAATGAGGGTGGGGGGGGGGTTAAATAGAAACCCCGGCAGGTCCGAAGGATCTAATCTGCTCGCGCTGCCGACGAGGGGGGAAGAAGGCAAAATTCTTGCAGAAAAATCAAAATCAAATAGCAGACCCAGAAGGAAGACCGAGGCAGCGCGGCGCTGGCTGGGCCGTCTCTGTCCCCGACGCTTTGCCTCGGCCGTCCCCGTCCCCTTCCGGGCGAAAAGTGAAGCGTGTAAACAAAAACAAGCGCTCCGAATCAAAATAAACGGGGGCGCGCGCGCCTCTCCGGAGCCTGGGCAGCGCCCCGCGCGAAGCCAAGTCCCGCATCCAGGGGCCGGGAAAAGTTTTCCAAAGTTCTCTTGGGCCAGGCCAGTTTTGACTTCTCGCTGGCCCCTCCCTCCGCCGCCGTCCAATGGCAGCCGGCTCGGGGTCCGGCTCGGCCAATGGGCGAGGCGGAGGAAGGCGCCGTGAGGACACCGGGATTCCGGGGAGCACCCCGGGGTTAGGCGCGGGGCTGGGGAGGCCTCGCCGGACCCCTCGGGGCTCTTACGGGGGAGACAGGGGCGAAGGAGGGCGAGAAGGCAGCGCTGGCTGAGTCCGTCCTTTGGGGAAGGGGGGGGGGCCGAGGGGCGATCCTTCCCCCTCCCTGCCCCAAAGTGTCACCCTTCTTAAACCATCATCACCCTCCTTAACCACCGTAACGATTAACCTCCCCGATCCTGGATGGAATCTCAGCCGCTCAGCGCGAGGCGGAGGGGAACCCGCAGAATTTCAGAAGAGACCGGACAGTCACTGGCCTGAAATGGGATAGGTTGTCCTGCTTGAGCGGGGGGGGGGGGCTGGACTAGAAGACCTCTAAGGTCCCTTCCAGCTCTATTTTATATTCCTGCGTCCGGCCCTCCGAGTTCTGGCAGCGCGAAACTTTTCCTAAAAGAGAAAAGAAAGCGCCGGTTGTTGTATTTTGTTTGTGTTTTGAAGCAGGTTCGGTTTCAACGGCCAGCCCGCCGGTTCTCCATCCTGGACCCCGACCCTCCTCCGCAGGCAGCCCCGGTTCGGAAAGGTGCGGGAGAGAAGCGAGCGGCCACGACCGTTCCCCCCCCCCCCACGGGGGAACCTCGCTCCGCCGCATCAGCTCATTGGGGTGAAGAATTCCGAAGAAGCTTATTTAGCACTTCGGTTCTAAACTCAATTAACACCTCCGTCCTAAATACCTGGAATTAAGGGACTTGGGGGGGGGGCTCCTCCGAAAAGAGGGGGGGGAGGAATTTTGCCCAAAGGATCGCGCCTGGAATGAAACGCGCTGATTTTTCTTCCCAAGCAGGCAAATAGGCTTAATTAAGCCTTGCACAGATAACGGGGCTGAATATTATTCTGCTAAATTTGGCCTGCATCTCCTCCTCATCGCCCTTTCCCCACTTTCCTCCCCCCCCGCTCCCCCCCCCGGGGGACCCCTCCACCCCTTGATTGTTCCATTAGAGATTCTCAGGGCTGGATAATTAACCCGATGTGATTTTTGTGCCTTTTTCGAGTTGGCAAGAATTCCGTTCGTTTGGCTAGCAAGCAGGGAATCGGTGATAGGGAAAAGCCACGGCTAAAAAAAATGTTTTACCATCTCTTGCGCGTCCCCCCCCTTTTTTTTTTAAGGTTGAAATAAGGAGAAATTGAACCAAATTTTTGGGGGGAGGGGAACGTATTCCAAACTCTCTCCTATATTTTTGCAAACTTTTTTTTTTCCGCCAGAACTTTTCCTGACTCTTTTAGCAACGCGCTTAGCTCGACAGGACGTTTCCTAAGCAGCTAGATAGAGTTGGAAGTAATCGCTTCTGTGATTATGTGGACTTTTCTCGCACGGATTGTGTCTCATTGCAAAATTGTCAAAATTGTCATGATGAAACGGGTGGAGGCGATGCCCGCACGTTTTCTGAGGGGTGTCCCAGTTTTGGAAGCGGTGGTTTTAATTCACTAAGCACAAGCTTCTAAAATGAAAACAAATTTAAAATGGTCTACACCCTATGCCTTTTTAAAAATGTATTTATTTATAATAAAAGGAAGGGTTTTTTTTTTTAACGCAGGAGTCCAGAGTCGTTTATATTTGGGGAAATGAAGCTGGGAAACTACAGCGCTTCAGTATGAAAGTTACAAAGAAAAAAAAAAAACCCAGCTTCGGAAAAACTGACTTCTTTTGAGGAGGAACTCAGAGGAATATTTGTATTTTCAAATGCAGGAAACTTGAGAGGCAATTATTTAAACTAAAAGGAAGCTTGCTAAAATGATTGGAAAATCCCTTTACAAAATCGAAATCCCTTTTTCGATTTTTCTCCCGTGATTTTTTTTTCCGGGGGGGGGAAGGAGGCGTCTTTCTGTGAGAAGACAAAGCAAAGAGATGAAAAAAGTTAAATAAATTAGTAATGTTAAATTAAGTCAAGAAAAGGTTACGTTTGCAGTGTTCTTAAAAGCTTTTCTTCGTTCTGCTTTACTTGATGATAAGGATTAATCCAGCCTTCCAATGTCTAATTAAATATTGGTCAAAAATATGAATGAAATAATTGGGAAATGAACTAGAAAGGACACGCAGAAATGAGGATCTAGTTATGCATTAATCCTTATCATAATCACGTCCTGTAAAAGACCTGATAGAATTTTTCAAAGGGAAAAATAAGTTTTCTTCTCTTGGAGAATAAATGATCTTACTCGCTCTACCTGCATTCCTGATGGCTAATTTTCTAGAAAGGACGTTTGTATTAAATTACCTAAAAGAAAAGAAAGATATTTGTAGCTTTCTCTTAAATTACACGATACTTATTTTTTTTAAAAAAAAAAAAAAACCTTTTGTCTTTTAAAATAAAATTCCTACAGTCACATGCGCTCGCATAATTATTGATCCTAAATGACACCACCTGTCTTGTAAATTAAAAATATGGGGCCCTTTCCCCGCGCGAGCGAGTTTGGCAAAGGGTAGCGGCGCGCAAACTTCCCACTCCTTCCACGCAGTTGCCTCGGTCAACGCCATTTAGCATCTTCACGCACCTCGCTTCCTTTCCATTCCCTGCCCCGTGGAATTGTTTCAAGAATGCGGAGACCTCAGGGGCTACGGGCGAGGCGAACCGCGCCGCTTTGCCCACAAAAACCCTGGAAATAGGTAATTCAGCGTAATCGTTAAGACTGCCGGCGGAGCCACCGCGATTGTCAGCAATCATCACGCCTGGCGTTTACTGCCCTCTAGAGGTCAAAAGAATGAATTGTAATCCTTTTTTGGAAAAAAAGTTTAGTCTCTTTGAAGACAGTGACACCTCGTGTATGGACTGCGATAGTACAGAGAGAGAGAGGGAGGGAGGGAGGGAGGGAGGGAGAGGGAAAGGGAAAGAGAGAGAGAGACAGAGAGAGAGAGAGAGAGGGAGGGAGAGAGAGGCAGAGAGAGAAAGAGAGGGAGGGAGAGACAGAGAGAGAGGGAGGGAGGAAGAGAGGGAGAGGGGGAGAGAGAGAGAGTACAAATAGCAAATAGCTATGAGGCGTGTTGGCGTCTGTAGGGAGCAAAGCTTTCTACACGCGTTGAGAATTGCCCAAGGTGAACATTCCAAAATGTTACAAAAGAGGACTCTGCTTTCCTGAACTCTTAGCCAAGCAAGATGTTAGGAAGAGAGGAGGGAGAGGTCGGAGTAATTTGTCACCCCTCCCTCCCCCCCCCCAAAAAAATAGTGGAGCTAACTTTGAAATGGGGAAGATCTCCTACTCCCAGAGAAGAAGTATGGAGGAAGGGAGGAAGGAAGGAAGGAAGGAAATGAGGGGAAGGAAGTTGAAATAGGAAGAAAGGAAAGGAAAGAATGGAAGGAAGGAAGGAAGGAAGGAAGGAAGGAAGGAAGGAAGGAAGGAAGGAAGGAAGGGAAGAAATGAGGGGAAGGAAGTTGAAATAGGAAGAAATGAAAGGAAAGAAGGGAAGGAAGGAAGGAAGGAAGGAAGGAAGGAAGGAAGGAAGGAAGGAAGGAAGGAAGGGAAGAAATGAGGGGAAGGAAGTTGAAATAGGAAGAAATGAAAGGAAAGAAGGGAAGGAAGGAAGGAAGGAAGGAAGGAAGGAAGGAAAGAAAGAAATGAGGGAAAGGAAGTTGAAATAGGAAGAAAGGAAAGGAAAGGAAGGAAGAAAGAAGGAAGGAAGGAAGAAGGAAGGAAGAAAATGAGGGGAAGGAAGTTGAAATAGGAAGAAAGGAAAGGAAAAGGGAAGGAAGGAAGGTAGAGAAGAAATGAGGGAAAGGAAGTTGAAATAGGAAGGAAGGAAAGGAAAGAAGGGAAGGAAAGGAAAGGAAAGGAAAGAAGGAAGGATTTAAACTTTGCAGTATCTCCTTTCCCGAAAATCTAGCGGTTCGCAGGCGGAAAGGATGCTGACCCCACAGCGAGGCGACCCTTTGATCCTGTCCAGCCGCCCTGGGGGGGATCCTGAGCGGCGGGAGACGCTCGACGGCTTGTCCCCCTTCGGCTGCCATAGTCAGAGCAGACACGTGGCCGTGGGAGCGCAGGGGCGGCGCTACAATGTAACTGGCGGATGAAGCGCTCGGCTACGACGTCCTGGCTTCCGAGGCTTTGATCTCGCTCTGGAGGTTGCCCCCGACAAGGACCATGGAGCGGATGGGGAGCTCCGGTAAGAGGAAGGATTTTACAGGAAGAGAAGGGAGGCAAAGGAGAGGAGCCGACCTTTAGCTCGGCGGGCAGAAGACTCGGGGACTGAGCCTCCTCTTTGCCCGCATCTGGGCGCATTCTCACGAACCAGCCTGCTCTCGCCTCAGAAATGTGCGCCCCCTGCCGACGTGCTTAGCTGATGGGTCCCTGCGTGAGGTGGCTTCCGTTCATTCGGAATCAGAATCCGAATAGAGCTGGAAGGGACCTTGGAGGTCTTCTAGTCCAGCCCCCTGCTCAAGCAGGAGACCCTATCACAGCGGTTCTCAGCCTGTGGGTCGGGACCCCATTTGGGGTCGAACGACCATTTCACGGGGGTCGCCAAACAACGCAGTCCGCCAATTTTTTCCCCTTTTCCTTAGCTGTGCTACTCCCTTTTATTCTATTGGCTTTTGAAAGCCAATAGAATAGACTCTCTTGAATAGAGTCTAATTCTATTGGCTTTCAAAAGCCAATAGGAATTGTCCAGGCTGTCTCTGCCCTGCTGAGCCCGCCAAAAGTCCCATTCTGCAAACGGTGCTGCACCAGTTGAGTAGTCCTCGACTTACGACCGGTTGAGTAGTCCTCGACTTACGACCGGTTGGGGGTCGCGACATTAAAAAGGTTGAGAACCACTGCCCTATCATTTGAGACAAGTGATTGTCCAGTCTCTTAAAAACCTTGATGACTTGAAAACGTCTGGACTTCAAACTCCCAGAATTCCCCAGCCAGCATGGTGCAGAAGATGACCTGTGGAATTCTGGGAGTTGAAGTCCACACATCTTCAAGGGGCCAAGGCTGAGAAACAAATTGCTGCATCATGGAAGGAGTTGGCCATCCTTTACTAAAGTGGCGCCTTCCTAAAAAAGGTGGATTATATGTCCCATCATCCCCAGCCACACACAAAAAAAACTTGACATTCCTTGGAGAAAAATATTTTTAAGATGCAATAGATTAATATGGATAAATATAAATAGAATAGAATAGAATATAAGTAAAATATATAACTATAAATAGATAAATATAGATAAATATGCATTTACAGCTTAGCTTAGCCTGAAAACTAAAGGAAAAACTTAGGGGTGAGTTTGATCTCTTTTCTTCTTCTTCTTCCCCCCATGAGAAGTTTCCAAATGGAACATCCGAAACAAAATCTGGGATTACATGGAAGCCCATAACCTGGCTGATTTTCCAAGACCGGTCCACCATCGGATTCCCAATTTCAAGGTATTTCTCTCTTCTCTCCTTCCCCACTTCTGCATCCACAAGAACATTTAACGATTCATATTAAATAATATATTTAAAGGCATACGGTTAAATTCCAGAATACTCTTTTAGTTCTTACAATCAAGACACACAGAGTGCTTCCAGTTAATTAGAGGACCCAAATACTTTGCGCTCAAAAGGTTCTCATTAAATTCTCAAAGCTGCCCAAACTGTACTTTTTCATCTCGGAAATTACTAAAATCACGGGTGCAGCCCTGGTAACAATGAATGGATTTTCATAATATTTAATTAATTCAAGCAATTCAATTGTTACATTCAAAAGGGCATTTCCGTAAACCCTCCTTGGTCTTTGTGCCTCTTACACACACAAACGAACACAATTTTTATTAAAAGAGGGGCCGTAAAGTGAAAGAAAGAGTCTGAAGAAAAGGACGGGAAAAAAGAAAAAGGGCCATCGCCCCATCCCCCACCCATGCCACCTACCAGTGTGGGCTGGACTGGGACACCCTGTGGGATGGGTGAGACCACAGGCCATAAAATGCCCAGGCTTAGTCTAAAGCAATGTTTCTCAAGTTGCCATTGTCAGCTGGCACCTTGAAGAGGCATAGACCCAGTTTTTGCTGGCTGGGGAATTCTGGGAGTTGAAGTCCACACCTTTGCAAGTTCTCAAGGTTGAGAAACAGTAGCCTAGATAGATGAAGAGAAGAGAAGAGAATAATAGAAGAGAAGAGAATACAAAATAGAAATAGGAATAGAATAGAATAGAATAGAATAGAATAGAATAGAATAGAATAGAATAGAATAGAATAGAATAGAATAGAACAGAGAATAGGATAGAGAATAGGATAGAGAATAGAATAGAGGATAGGATAGAACAGAAGAATAGAGTGGAGTAGAGTAGAGTAGAAGAGAAGAGAATACAGAAGAGAATAGAAATAGAATAGAATAGAGAATAGAATAGAAAATAGGATAGGATTAGGATAGAAGAATAGAGTAGAGTAGAATAGAGTAGAAGAGAAGAGAAGAGAATACAGAAGAGAAGAGAAATAGAATAGAATAGAGGATAGGATAGGATACAATTAGGATAGAACAGAAGAAAGAATAGAATAGAATAGAATAGAATAGAAGATAGGATAGGATAGGATAGGATAGGATAGGATAGGATTAGGATAGAACAGAAGAATAGAAGAGAAGAGAAGAGAATACAGAAGAATAGAAATAGAATAGAGAATAGGATAGGATACAATTAGGATAGAACAGAAGAATAGAATAGAATAGAATAGAATAGAATAGAATAGAATAGAATAGAATAGAATAGAGCTGGAAGGGACCTTGGAGGTCTTCTAGTCCAACCCCCTGCTCAGGCAGGAAACTCTATACCATTTCAGACAAATGATTGTCCAGTCTCTTCTAGAAAGAAACTAGGAAGACAGTTGCCATAGTTGTATGGGTCCCTCACTGATCTGAGCTGTCTTACCCAACAGGGCGCTTCTCTTGCCTCGGTGCAAATTCTAGATTTGGGGGAATTCCAAAGTGCCAGGACAGTTAAAGCCAACCCTGACTCTCCCCAGAAGGACATCCGCTTTTTAACCCTGGAAGTGAGTAGGTCACGTTTTCCTTGCAGGGATCTTTCCAAACAGGGGTGTCCATCAAAAGCTGGGATGAGTTTGATGAAGCCAGGGAAGTGAAGGTGGATCCAGACAAACCTCTCGAGGGGATCCGCCTGTCGGTGATCCAGGTAAACAAGTTTTCATTGCTCAAGGAAATCAAACCAGAGATATTCTATCAAAGATCCCTAAAAGCCGTCCCTACCTTATGAAGCTCTAATTCTTCCAAATATGTAGTCTACTTAGTCATTGTCACCACTACCTCCAATGTATATTCTCCCTTTCCATAACTTCTGCTTGTGCCTTTCTTCTGGTCTTCAAAATTGTCCTCACCATCCCATTTTGTGCTAATGTCTTCCATAAGTCCATCATGAATGATGTGAGCAAACGCTTCCTTTTGACTCGTTTTATCATTTTCTGGGGGGGGGGGTTGTTGAGTCTTAAGTGGGGGAGAGTTAGTCAGGGTTGAACTGCAGGGTCCAGGGTGTTCTTTGAGTTTGGTTGTTTTCTTGCAGACGTCTCATGAGCCAACTAGGGAATATCATCAGTGCTAGGAAGGAATAGGGTGTGAAGAGAAGGAGGAGGAGGAGGAGGAGGAGGAGGAGGAGGACGACGACGACTCTGGGCTTTTGGTACTGTCTGTTTTGTTGCTTTTAGTGGATGTTTCACTACCCAGCTAGGGAACATCAGTGCTAGTAGAGAGTGGGGTTTGCAGAGAGAAGGAGGAGGAGGAGGAGGAGGAGGAGGAGGAGGAGGACAACAACAACAACAACAATTCTGGGCCTTTGGTGCTGTCTGTTTTGTTGCTTTTAGTGGATGTTTCACTACCCAACTAGGGAACATCAGTGCTAGTAGAGAGTGGGGTTTGCAGGGAGGAGGAGGAGGAGAACAATGACTGTGGGCCTTTGGTGCTGTCTGTTTTGTTGTTTTCTTGCAGATGTTTCATTCCCTAACTAGGCATTATCAGTGTTAGGACTGGTGATGTTACCTAGCTGGGCAATGAAACGTCTGTAAGAAATTTAAACAATTAAGTTTAGAAAGCAACGTACAATTATAATTGGAAGGCTGCTCCATTGACTTATTTCCTCTTCTTGCAGGCCAGGAAAACCCTCCTGGTGCCCACCCCCCGTCTGCGTACAGGGCTGTTCAACAGAATCGTGCCTCCTCCCAGGGCCACTAAGGAGACCCTAAGAAAATGTGCAACCTCCCAAGTAAGTGTCACAAACAAGTGAGGCTGGATTGCATCGTGTGGCTGATTTAGAAGGTCCCCTTTTTATCTGTCCACTTCAACGCGGCACTTTGGTGCCCTCTTGTGTTGAAACGACAAATCAAACACATTTATTACAGTCTGCCCAGCCTTTAGAATAATAATAAAAAAAGCTAGTTTGGCTCAATTCGTTCTTGGGAAACAAAACAAAAAAAAAAGGACAATAAAATGATGTATCTGATTAAAAGTTTTGCAGTTGTATAACTTGGTGAAAGTATTTGGACACCTGACACGTGAATGTGGGCTTGGCATCCCTTAAAAAATAATGATGGTAAAATTTATAAGTGTGACCTTCAAATTTAGAGACATTCGAGGAGATCAGAGTGTGTCTTGGAGCCTCATTTAAAAAAGGACACTGTAGGACAGACATAAGAGATCAACCCCGACTGCTCTTTAGAAAGCCAGATCCTGAAGTTGAAATTCAAATACTTTGGCCACCTAATGAGAAGGAAGGACTCACTGGAGAAGGGCCTAATGCTGGGAAAGATTGAGGGCAATAGAAGAATGGGACAACAGAGAATGAGGTGACTGGATGGAGTCACCGGAGCAGTAGGTGTGAGCTTAAATGGACTCCAGAAGATGGTAGAGGACAGGAAGGCCTGGAGGAACATTGTCCATGGGGTCGCGATGGGTCGGACATGACTTCACAATTAACAACAAGGACAGACATGTCAAACTCGCGATATCACATGACGTCGCGCAATGTTATCGGGACGGTTTTGCCATTGCCAGCCATGGGGTGGGCGCGGCTTCCGCGTGATGTGTCCGGCCCGTGGGCCAGCAGTTTGACACCCCTGCTGTAGGAGGACATGAGGGAGAGTTTCTGCTTCCCTGGATCAACAAGGACAAAGTCTCTGGAAATACAGAGTCCCGTGAAATCTTCCCAATAGTAGAACTGATGAGAGGACATCAGCGCAGCTTCTGGAAAAGGCCCATTTACATTTGCTTTGAGTTAGATCAGTGTTTCCCAAACTTGACAATTTTAAGGCATGTGGACTTCAACTCCCAGAATTCCACAGCCAGCAACGCTGGCTGTGGAATTCTGGGAGTTGAAGTCCACATGCCTTAAAATTGTCAAGTTTGGGAAACACTGAGTTAGATCATATTGATACCCTACAGTAGAGGGCTGGTGTTGAAATGACAACCTAGATCTGTGTTCTGCCTAATCAATCGTAGCCAAAAATTAACCTAGACAATTAGAGCATCTTAGTTGCTGACAGATATTTTCAAGTGATGTGAAGCCTAGGGATGGTTCCTACCTATTTGAATGCTTGAATGGTTAATGTCCACGTAGAGCAGGGAGTGTCCAACCTTAGCAACGTTAAGACTTGTGGACTTCAACTCCCAGAAGTCCACTGGCCAGCAGGTCTGTAGAAGTCCACAGGTCTTAACTCTGCCAAGGTTGGACACCCCTGATGGAGATGTAGGAAGGGGAGATTTCAGAAATATTTTCTTTCTCCTGATTATCATGTCTTGTCTTTCTCCCCCCCCCTCTTTTTTTTAGGGTGTCAGAGGTTATAGTGTCCCAGTAGGGCTAGATGCAAAAGTCCACGTGGACCTGATTGTGGTGGGATCAGTGGCTGTCTCTGAGAAAGGTTGGTGGCTGTCAAGTGTCCTTCTCATTTCCATGCCGGCTTTGTCTCTTTATCTTAGTTCCTGCTAACATTTGAGACTCTTTTGGCCTCTCCCAGCAAAATGATGGGCTCTCCCAGATCCCCGGAGAACTATTTCAGCGGGGATTTGATGAGATTCAGTGACCTCTTTGCATCTCAGGAGGGCTTCGGGCCAGCTGGGGAAAAACGAAGGGTCCTCTCCGTCCTTTTGGCCCTGCTGTAACTCGATGTTTGAATTCCTGTTTTAGACAGGTGCTCCCTTTTCTTACTATAGGCTGGCGGATCGGGAAAGGAGAAGGCTTCGCGGACATGGAATATGCCATGATGGTTTCTATGGGAGCCGTAGGGCAGAGGACGGTGGTCATCACAGCGGTCCATGACTGCCAGGTAATGGTTAGGGCCAGGGAGCTAAAAACCTTTGGGAGGAGGGAGAGAGAGATTGAAGGCAACGTTGCCCTACCTCAGAAACTTTGATGGAGGGGTTTCAACTGCCAAATTCTGGGAGTTGAAGTCTTCCCTTCTTAAAGGTGCCGAGGTTGAGAAGCACTGATCTAAGATGTCTAGAGCAGTGGTTCTCAACCTTTTTAATGCCACGACCCCCATCCGGTCGTAAGTCGAGGACTACTCAACGGGTGCAGCACCGTTTGCAGAATGGGACTTTTGGCGGGCTCAGCAGGGCAGAGACAGCCTGGACAATTCCTATTGGCTTTTGAAAGCCAATAGAATTAGACTCTATTTAAGAGAGTCTATTCTATTGGCTTTCAAAAGCCAATAGAATAAAAAGGAGTAGCACAGCTAAGGAAAAGGGGGGAAAAATGGCGGACTGCGTTGTTTGGCGACCCCCGTGAAATGGTCGTTCGACCCCAAATGGGGTCCCGATCCACAGGTTGAGAACCACTGGCCTATAGAGATTCTCAGTCATCCAGGTCATAGTTATCCCAGGGATGCCTTTTCATGCGGCACAGCTGGACTTAATTGTTTTTCTCTGAAGAGGTTTCGCTTCTCATCCAAGAAACATAGACATTTAGCTATGCACTGAGAGCTGAAGAAGCTTCTTGGCTGAGAAGCGAAATATCTTCAGAGAAAAAACAAGAAAGTCCAGTTGCCTCATGAAAAAGCATCTTTTTTTTTAATTTAAATTTTTATTAAGTACAAAGAAAAAAAAAGGATTAAAAACATTGAACATGGTAAATCGTCTTTGACTGACATCTCAGTCCATATTGTACATTAATTACATATAATATACAGTACCTATATACAACTATACATTTCTAGTCTCTATCTCAGTTTATCTCTTTACTGTGACCTCCAATTTTTTTCCCTCCATCTATAAAATTTATTCCATATTCGATAAAATTCTGTTTCTTCCTGATTTTTTAATCTTTTAGTTATCCGATCTAGTTCTGCGCAATGCATGATTTTCTTTATTAGTCCTTCCCCACTTGGTACTTCCATTGCTTTCCACTTTTGAGCAAATAGTATCCTTGCTGCTGTGACCACATGGATAATTAAATATGTGTCCTCTTTATTTACATTTTTCCCTAGTATTCCTAATAGTAATGTCTCCGGTTTGTATTGAATGTTTTGCCTAGTCATTTCTATTGCCCAATCCCAGACCATACGCCAATACACCTGTGCTTCTCTACATGTCCACCATACATGAAAAAGGTGCCCTTATGAAAAAGCATCTTTGACACTGACCTAGGATAAATGTTTCTCGTGAAAAGAAGTGGTGATTCAGCTCACCTTGATCAGTGACAGAGAACAGCCCTGAGACCCCCTTCTCAAGGGCTTCCAGAATACCACCGACACACTAATTTTGTGCAATATAAAGAGCAATCTGGGGTCAGGATTATGTCAGCTGCACCAGCTCTAGTAAAAGAATGGTGCTCATTTAAGTCGAACGTGCCACTTGATTTGTTTCAGAAGATCCCGTGTTCTTTGCTTGCAATGCCAGAGAACTTTCTCCTAATCAAGGTAAATCATTCTGAGCAAGGTGGACTGGGGTCTGGTTTTGCCTAGGACAGCTTCATCTACTGTCCAAAATTCCTAGGCCCAAGTCAAGGTTCTGGTGCTGATCATTAGGACCTCAAATCAGCCTTCTCCAACGTGGACACCTTCTCAGGCTGACCCATGAAAATCAACTTCCAGAGTTTTGGAAATGGCCAGGCTGGCTGAGAAACTCCAGGACTGAAGTTCATATTTCTGGAGAGACCCCAGATTGTAGAAATGGGGGGTGAGGGAAATGCTTTGATTAAGTGAAAAATTGTCCTTTGAAGGTACTGAAGGACCCCCGTGGGATTATCCTACACTTTGGCATCTCTACTAGGTAGTGGATATTCCAGAAGAGCTTCTAGATGACCATGATCTAACTGTGGATTATATCCTTACCCCAACAAGGATCATCAAGACAGAATGCAAGCGGCCGAAACCTTGGGGAATCATGTGGCATAAGGTAGGTTTCCTCTGCAACTCCATGGCCGGCTGGAGAATTCTGGGAGTTGAAGTCCACTTCTCTTCAAGTTGTCAGGGTTGAGAAACACCAACCTAGCTAAATTTTCTAAGTGACTTTAATTCCTTCTTTCCTGTTTCTATCAAGGATGGCCTTGGATGCTACTGTGCTCAGCCTCGGACATTCCTGTCTCCCTTCCATCTCCTCCTCCTCCTCCTCCTCCTCCTCCTCCTCCTCCTCCTCCTCCTCCTTCTCTTTTTCTTCTTCCTCTTCCTCCTCCTCCTCCTCCTCTTCTTCTCCTTCTCCTTCTCCTTCTCCTTCTTCTTCTTCTTCTTCTTCTTCTTCTTCTTCTTCTTCTTCTTCTTTTCTCTCTCTCTCTCTCTCTCTCTCTCACACACACACACACACACCTTTTTGGTGTTGGAATTCAATCTCCATAAATCTTTTCTTGGTTGTTTTGGGCTCCCTGGCTTCTAGTCTTGCAAGAGAAATCTGCCAGCTTCTGGCTGAGGCTCCAGAGACGCTTTCATCTTGGTGCCGATTTTGACACCCCAGCAGACAAGATTGGTCTGCAGCCTGATCCTGCTTATCTGACTGATCTTCACTTATCAGGGAAAAGGAGATGAAAGCTTTCATTCTGCCGGAGGGCAAAGATCTCCCTCCAGGCGCTCCCATCTGTTTCCTTGATTGAAGAAGTCCTTTTTGATCCCAGCACTGCTACCTCTTTAGCCAGGGATCTGGACCAGGACGAGAGTCTCTTGTGAAGTTCCTCCCCCCCCCCCCAGCAGAGAAGACAGGAAGGAGGAAAAAGGAAGGAAAAAAAATACAGGGGCTTTGATTGTGATGGCAAATACTACAGGAATGGGACATCAGAAGAATTGTCAACATGCGCAGCCCTGAGAGGGGTTGCATTTTTTGAAAAGGACCTTTCCCTTCTGAGTTTTTATTACCCAGTGTAGGTTTTCACAGCTTCAGAGGTACTTAACTTACCTTCCTCACCTTCAGAATTTCTAGTTGGGTTTCAGGATTAGGATAAATTAGTCCCCTTCAGGAGAGACAGACAGCTTCAGTATATAAATTTGATTGATAGATAGATGAAAGAGAGAGAGAGAGAGAGAGAGAGAGAGAGAGAGGTGGGCACAGAGAGAGAGGCAGACAAATAGAGACAGATAGAGATAGATAGATAGATAGATAGATAGATAGATAGATAGATAGATAGATAGATAGACAGACAGACAGACAGACAGACAGACAGATGTTGCTCCATTCTATGGAGATAATTGTAAGGATGATGGGGTTTCAATAGGGCAGTTGGTCAAGCACACACACACACACACACAATATTTCCTGGCAGCATCTTGTTCTTCAGATTAATTGGTCTTATCTTAAGCCTCTTTTGATGCCCTCATGATGCTCCTGGAAAAATCAGGTGGTAGCTATGGTCGTTACCCTGTAATTTGCTTCACTTTTGTTTCTATTCCTTTTAGATCAGCCAGGAAACTCTGAAGAAAATCCCAGTCCTCAGGATTCTTCACGGCAGAGAGAAGCTGGAAGGCAAAACTGTTCTCCTCAAAGATGAATGGCCTGAGGTTTTGAGGGCTAGGAAGACACCGAGAGTAGCCAATGAGAATGTTCCAGAAGGCAGCTGGTCACAGGCAGAGACCGGCTTGGCCCAGCCAAGGGGAGAAGAAGGGGCTTTATCAGATGAAAGAGGCCACCTCAGTGTTCCTGCCACCGTCTACGTGGGCAACATCTCCTCTGGAACCAGAGTGAGTGACTTAAAGGAGGCCCTCAAAAAGCACCACGTGACTCCGGCAAGGCTCTCCTGGCGAGGCGCACATCACCAAGCCTTCCTCAGCTACGGTGATCAATCCAAGGCTGAAGAGGCCATCACAGCTTTGCAAGGCTTAACTCTCCAAGGGCGTTTGCTGCGGGTGGAATGGGCCAGGAACCAGTCGGGCAAAATGGCTCCTAGTCCCCGTTAGCGGAGAAGGACCTGCTGAAACAGATGCCAGTTTGATAGCAAAATGGCAGCCAGCCAAGAGTTTGATGGGGCGGTCTACCAGAGATGAGGCTGTGCTACATCTGGGCGGTTTGATTATTTATATGACAGCTGTTTTCTTGGCCTTTTGACTTTTTCACACCATTAGGTGGAGAAGGTGTAGTGAAGTTGTAGAGCAGATTAGGGCAACACCTGTAATCTTCTGGATAGAGTTCACTTGAAGCTCCCAACCTCCTTCACGAGTGGACATGTTTTCTGGAGAAGGGCTCTGATTTGTATTTGTCCGCACACACACACATTACAAAGCAACACCAGTTCAGTGTTTTGTTATCTGTGGTCTTTAGAATATGAGAAGGTACCCAATCTGGGTTTGCATCAAGACTCGGAGATGTTAATACACTCTGTTGGGTTGCAGAAGGAAAGATCCTTTTTGACCTTTGGCTGGTCTCTCCTTTCTGCGAAGTGTCTGTTCCTTTGCATAGCACAACTCTTGAGTAATGCCTATCAACTCTTGTGGTGGCTCTCTCCACCTCAGATCCTTATTGTATAGCCTATTGAAAGGCAAGTGCTACTGAGTTGATATTTATCAAGCAAAGAGTTCTTTGTTTGCTAACAGAAGAGAATATATGTAGCTCCGGGTTGAACTGTGGAGTCCTTGATGCTCTCTGAGCTGGATGGTTTTCTTGGAGATGTTTCATGACCCAACTAGGTATCTTCTTCAAGATATTACCTATTTGGGTAATGAAATGTCTGCAAGAAAACCACCCATCTCAGAAAGTACCAAGCATTCCACAGTCTTTCTCCTCCTCCCCCTCTTTCTCCTCCCCCCTTCTTCCTTTTCCTCCTCCTTTTTCTTTTTCTTTTTTTCTTTCTTCTTCTCCTTCTCCTTCTCCTCCTTCACTCCATACACCCCATTCCTTTCTAGCACTGATGATGTCACCTAGTTGGGTCATGAAATATCTGCAAGGAAACAACCAAGTTCAGAGAGCACCAAGCACCCCACAATCTTACTCCACCTCCTCCTCCTCCATCCTCTCCTCCTCCTCTCTACAAACCCCACTCCCTTCTAGCACTGATGATGCCACCTAATTGGGTCATGAAACGTCTGCAAGGAAACAACCAAGCTCAGAGAGCACCAAGCACCCCACAAAAACAAGGTGTCTATATCTTTGTTCACTACAGAATAGTTTGGAAAATCAGAAGGAAGGGCGAGTCTTACAGAAAATGTTTTTTTCCCCTCCCGGTAAACATGAGCTTACCCTTCTTCAACCAGGTGCCCTTCAGGTGGTTAGGTTTCTAGTCCACAGTTTATTCCCAGAGGGTATCCAAGCTGGAGTGGGCTGTGGGATACTCCTCTGCCCTCTTGACCAGCGAGTCTCAAGCCTCAGTCACTAGTTTCTCTACAGGAGATTGTTGACAGAAAGACTAAATTTAGAAAGTACTGACAAATGCTTATTGCAAAACAAAAGCAAAGCAGTTCTAGAGAGTGAGTGAGTGAGTGTGTGTGTGTGTCTTTGCTTTGTTGGAACAAAAAGTTGAATTTGGCTGTACTTCTTTCTCAACAGAAGCTCTTTCGCAGCTGATCTCAGGCAGGAAGTCAAAATAAGCAATGAAATGTTTCTTTACTTTAAAATCGGAGAGAGTTGGAAATCTTTTCATACCTCCAGGGTGTGCTACTAAGTGTATTTTAAGTATATTATTGTGCCTCAAGAGAGGTGGGCCTTTCAGAAAGCATTAAAATAAACCTTCCCAAGGTTGTAGAGTGTTACTGTTTAAAAAGAACGAAAAAAGAAAACTGGCAGATTGTTCTACTCTATTCTTCCCTCTGCTGATTTCTTTCCTCACCAAAAGAAAGCCAGAGTCTGATGCAATGACAGGAGCACCTTGCAAGGATTGAAAAGCCATCAACACAATAGGAAAAACAGGGGAAAACATATTTCCTTCCCTCTCTTAGATTATGCCTGCCAGATAGAGTAAGGTGTCATTCACAAACAAGGCTTATCAAGATTTGCAACTGAGAAGTGCTATAGAGACTTTTCTCTAGCCTTGAGTTTGTGGCCTTGCTTGAGCTATAGTTTGTAAGCACGGTTTCTAGCACAAGCTGCAAGTGCCTGCATTCATGAGCTGAGTGTAGCACAAACCACAGTTCTGAGTCTTACTAAGACAGTAAACTAAAACCAAGGCAACCATGTGAAGGCTTAATGCAGTCACTCTAACCCCAGTCAATGAAATGGACTTGCACCAGGCAGGCTGATGTGCTCCCAAAGCAGATGGAGGAAAATCAATGTAGATGGATGGATGGATGGATGGATGGGAGGGAGGGAGGGAAGAAGAAAGGAACAAAGGAAGATGAGGAAGGGGGGAGGGAGGGAAGAAGGAAAGAAGGAAGGAAAACAAGGAAAGGGGAAGGGAGGGAGGGAGGGAGAAGGGGAAGAAGGAAAGATCCGCCTTCAGAATGAACTTAGCTATTAGAATCTCAAAAGGTGATTTGCTTTTCAGACTTCTATCATTTTGGACCGTTTTAAGCAAAGCAAATTTTTTTTCAGCTCAAAAAGGAAACTACAATTCAGGCTATTGAGCTATGGGGTTATTCTTTGCTGCTGCATATAAACAAGGGATGAGGGTCCTATTGTACATAATAAACTGCTGGTTCCTTGCAAATCTCTGGGGAAGCATTATTAGATCCTGTTCATCCAGGTGTCACTCGCATTCTGGTCCTTAGATTCCCAGCCTGCCTTTCCACTGTCATGTTTCAAGAGCCTGGAGCTATTTTCAACATTTCCTTTTCCAAGTGCGACTCAGAATATTAAGTGCCCGGAAATCAGCCCAGATCTTCACTTAAAGGATTTTACTCGAATGATGTGGCTGAGAAACAGATCCAGCATCTGCTGTTCTAAAACTTCAGATTACTCAACCTAAGTAGGATTTTCTCTCCCTAAAAGTTCAACTTAGTAGAAACAAAACTTTCCATAAAACTGGGCTGGAGGTTGCTTCTCCAGCAGGTGGCACAATGGGTGCATGAAACACCACCTACAGGAAAGCAGATGTCACTAACCAGATGTGATGTTGTTGAACGGCCTTCCCACAGGGGTTGCCATTATCTCCCCATTATTACAGGTTATCTCTTTTTTACCTTGATTATTTTTCTTGACACTGAGTATTTAAGGTGAGAATACAGTGTGTCCCTGGTGTACATTCATCTGGAGAACTTCCTGAAGAAAAAGTTGGATCATAGACATCCCTACTTTTTGATCAGAATACAGGATAGCAGAGTGGGAAGGGACTTTGTAGTCTAGTCCAACCCCCAGCTCAAGCTGGAGACCCTATATCAGTTTGACTTCCTTATGACCCTGATGCCCAACATCTCCAAGGTCACCTGGGCCTGAGAAGATCAAATGGAGAAGGCCAAGCAGAGACTGAATGGGGTTGATCCCATTTTTTTTCTTGGAATCCATTTCTAGGGTAATGTTAGAATTCTCTTGCTAATGCTGAAGGGGGCCTGGGACAACTTCTAGGGTGCTAGCAGATATATTCACAAGCCTACAAAAATCATCAGGGCTGAATATAGGTTGAAGGGGGGAAAAAATGAAGCCAGCAATTTTTGGGGTGTTTGCAGATTCTTTGCAGAAGAACAGAGCATTTATGATGTTTCAGTGTTAAATGCTCTCCTGATGCAGAGATGTGGATTCTTGCTACCGCAGAAATAAAGTTGCAGGTGGGATGGGGTTGCATTTTTTTAGAAGTTCCAAAAGTGATTATATGAAATATTTCTCCACTGTTGCTTTTGGCCTTCAGGCTGACTGAGCTAGGGATGAATCAGAGCGATGGAGTTGAAATCAAGGGGAAAAGGCTTAGTGGCTGCAGCTCAAAAGCCATTAATTTTGATGGTTCATTGAATCTCGGCATTTGGAGGACATGTTCACAGGGAAAAAAAACATCTCTGGTATTAAATTATGTTTATACGCTTCCTGCAGATAAACGTCTTGCCACTGTGGATTTTTGGTGCTATTGAACCTATGCAGAACAGCACCAAAACACTACATGATGAAAGACAAAAAACAAAACAAAAAAAAAAAAACCCCACAACCCACCCATATATGAAAAACAATCAGTTTGAAAGCATTATAAAGCCACTGGGGAATTTTATTGTAATACTGTAGAGTTTAATCTGGATTTTGATTGCATAGAAGCTGCTTTTTCTTTTTTCCCCATTTTGTCTTTCTTTGCTGTTGTTAGCCTCCTTGATGGACAGATAGATTGAGATAGATCTTCAGTAATCAGTTGAATTAATTAATTGGTGTAGTGTTTTCTGTATATTACAGAAAAGGATCTCTCGTACCCTTAAATACGGTTAAATATGAATTCTTCGGGCCTCAATCTGAATTTCTGTTTGAAAGGGACACAACGTGGATAAGAAGAATCTGCCTTTTTAGATTAAGTTTTAAGATTAGGGTCAGGCCTGTGTAGAGTTTGGATGGAACACCACAAAAATCCCAAAACTTTTGGCTAGGCTGGTGCATTTAAGGGAGTGAAGAAAATCCCATTAACTGACAAAATGACAAACATTTTCCATCAAGCTGGCAAGATGGCATGGATCTGCCTACATGTGGTTACCTCCACGGCTTTCAGATTCGGTCTGAAGAAATCCAGACAACCACTAGATGGCAGCAAAGAGTTGGGAATTTTCCATGCACCTTGGCCGCCTGTTGGATTTTTGAAATTCACTTCTCGGGTTTACCATTTTATGAAAAGAGCCCTTTATACCAAGAAGAAATTAGGAAGACAATTTAACATCACAAAGGAATGCAGGCATGCTTTTGATACAGCCCACGTTACTAGAAAGACTTTCCCGTTTTTTTTAGATATTTAAGAAAGCCATTAAAAAGGTCTGGCATCCCGCATGGCGTAGTTTCAATCTCTTGTTTGAAAGGAAAAATTGAGAGTTGAATTTTTCCACGCTGGACAGATGCGCGGAGGTGGGTATTTCAGTTGAAGAGGCGACAGACACAAACAATTTAACACCAATTTCTTGCAAGCCCAGAAGGGGATTTATAACCTCATTGCTCTGCAAATAGGCACCCCTCCTGCTTTTAGCACCAGCTCTTTTTTTTTCTACAGTTTGATTGACAAGCCTTATTTTGAGAAGGGAGAAAGAAGAATTTTTTTAAAAAAATGAAATAAAAGTGTCTGCTACTCTGTGACCGGGGGGAAAAAAGACTTTGAAACAGTCGCATTGCTCTGCATCATTGCCAGTTCACTTTGAGAAAAACTTTTCTCTTTTATTAGTATTTGCTAACTCTGGACATATTAAAAATCAAGAATCTAGAATCCACATTATTCCCAAATGCAGCAATTCCAGACAGGCTCACAGTGAGGAATTTGAGCTACTAATTGCTTCAGTGGGTTCTATTGATTTTTTTCTCTGTAAACCGAACAAAAAAAAAATTCTCCGTGGCCTAGAATAATCAGCTTGAGGGAAAAAAAAATGAGTTGATCTCTAGAGACATTCCAAGTGTGGTGGGTCCAGAAATCAGGAAAAGAAAAAAGAAAAGAAAATGAGTCAGAAAGAAAAGTAACTGTTACTAATTTTATGCTAGCAATTACAGCTTTAATGCAAAAGTCTATTCAAAATATTTCCTAAAAATTACTGAAATGTATTATATAAACCAGGGATAATATTAGAAGGATGCAAACCGTGCCAAATAAGAAGCAAGGAGAATTATATTCTTTTTTGGTGTTTCAGTGGCAATTTAATTTCTTTTTACTTGCCATGTTTTGGCAACTTCTGCAGTTGTAAAAACAAAAGGATAATCTTAGCAGCAAATGTGTAAAAATTTGAAAATCCTTACAGTGTATCAGTATATAATTAGCATCTTCTACATCTCGGTAATATTGCAAACCACAGTTATGTGAATACTGAGGCCTGGGAAGAACGTGAAGTAGGTGACGTAAGTAGAAAGAATATTGTAAACAATTTCTTTTAAATGAATAAGAACTGCAGAAAAATGTAAAATTGTTTCTATGTTCTGGCATTATTTCTACCCATTGATTTATTTCTTAGATAAGAAAAAAAAAGTTATTTCTAGCCAAACAAATAGCTGTTACTTGTTTCAGTTACATTTAATAGCTTTTTAATATGGTTATTAGTTTACTCTGTAAAGAAGTCTTCCAGCTTCACTAAGTTTCCTTCATGTCTATTTTGGCATTTTAAAAAAATCCTGTTTTAGAGAAAGAAGGAAATAATACTGAATTAGAATCAACTTTAACTATATTTAATCTCTTTTGGAATAACTTTTTCCCAAAAACAGATCTTTGAGAATCTTGACTTTATAAATATTGCTTCCTGCTTTTGCACCATTAAAAGAAAAACTGGAGAAGGCTAAATAGAAGTAAATGAGCAGTGGGGTTTTTTTTAAATAGATATTTCACAGCTGTAATTCTAGCTGGCTTTCAACACCATATTTAAAATTCAAATAGTCCCAGATTTGGGGAATTAGTCATGACCCCAGTTTTTTGGTGCTGGGAAAAACAAAACAAATTCTGAAATAGCCCTAGAAGTTGAACAAGGGAGATCCTTTCAATGCCCTGTCCTGGCTCAGTAATTAAAGTCATCGGCTTAATGTGTCATTCAAAGTTAGAGAAGTTCTCATTTTGGTTTGTGGAAGCCAGAATTTAGAACCATGGTTTGTGGTAAGTTTCAAGCAGGCTGGCTGGGGAATTCTGGAAACTGAGGTCCATACATCTTCAAGGGGTCCAGTTTGAAAAACACCACCCTGAAATTTAGTTGCTGTGAACTGCATGTTGTAGCTTGCTCTGAAATTGGAAGGTATAATCAACCTTCTATTAATTAAATAACCACACACCACTTGGAGACGCAAAAATATTGGGACCTGCTGGTTTGTTATCCAGAACTTGGGGCAGTTGGTTTGGTGGAGCCAGGCCGTGAATCTAATAAGATTGCCAGTAGATACAATCCAAAAACAGATAAATGAATGCAAGGCTACCTGAGATCCAAATGAGACTCTTAATTTCTCCTTTTACGTATCTGTCCTGTTCAGACATGTCCACGGGGTGGGGTCAAAATAGGTCCAGGTTTTTTATGGGCATCACAAAGCCCGTAAAAATGGCCAGAACATCCATCACACCCTTGTGGATGCCATCTTGAGTTCTTAACTACATATCCTGAGGACACACTTGGATAATTTGATTCTTCCTGGCCAAGACGACTGAGGACTGATCAATTACTTCCACTCAATTCAAAGAAAAAGAGTCACTTTCTTCCAAGAACAAATTGTCCAGCTAGAGAAAGAGGCCTCCCTGGAAATAAACCACTGGTTTGTGTTTAGGGCCCTCTTTCATGTTTACCTCAGCCAAGTAGCCATTTCCTGTCTTTTATCAGTTGGGCATCACACATCGGGGCTAAAATAGCAGGCCAAATCCCTGCATTCGAGCAAACTTGATCTCGGTTTATGCTTGCTTGCTTTCAAGAAGAAAGACACAGAGTCAAAGGCATAATGAAATCTGGTGGAAGTTTGTTTGCAGACTGAATTCAAGGTGATGAATTGTTGGCAGACTGACTTCAGGGCAACTCCCATTAGGGCTTACACCTCAGCAAGCCCTCATGCAAAGCTTATCTTTGGTCAGTGAAAGTGACTCAAGTGAGACCGGTTAATTGGGATGCAAAACACGGCCCCCCCACCTCCAGGCTTTCATGAAAGCAAAACCCGACTCCTGTCAAAAGAACACGTCAGCCATTTTAAAACACGTGTGGTCCATGTTTTAAAATAGGCTCATCTGTTTTTTAAATCAGGATTGACTGTGCCCATATCTTTACATTGGGAGAATTGTATCGTATGTGTGCACCAAACTCTGCTCTTTTCAAAATGTTGCCATGCAGTTCCCAGGCAGGTGGTTCTTGATAAACAGCTGCATTTACAGTGGTTTGCAACATCCCGGGGTCACGTGACTGTGTTTCACGACAGTTTTGCTGAAAAGTGCCAGTCTGAGGTTTTCTGCAACACCACGCCCAAAGCAAGCCAGGGGTTCCCTTAAGGACTTAAACAACTGCCACAACAACCATTGTAAAACTGGATTGATCATGTGAATAACCCGTTTTGCGACAGTCATGACATGCAACCGTAATAGGCAGGCTCCATTACAGTCGTATTTTGAGGACTACTTATATATTATTAACATGGAATGCAGTTTTTCAAAGTATGTATTAGATAAAAGTCAGCGCAAAAGTGTTACCTTGGAGGAAAAAGAAAAGAGGCTATATTTCAAAGAAATCTCTCTCTATATATTCTAAATTGAGACTCTAAATTAGCCATTTAATTTTCTTTCTAATCTCTTGCTAAATTTCTGGAAACAAAGTATCACAGTTAATTCTTCTCCCTGGTTTGGGTAGAATAAAATTAAAACATTTCTCTTATCAGAGACGGCAACCAACATTCAGTGCTATTAGGTCAAAAAAGCTGAAAATTCAAATCAGGATCTAAAAATTACCCGGGAAATTATAATCACATTCCCTGGAGTGATTACAAATTTGCATGAAACATTTTCCAGATGACCCAGCTGTTAGTTTTGATATCTGTGCTGGACACCAAGAAATTGGTTATTAAGGCAGCAGACAATTTCTTACTTATAGCATTTTTTTTTAACATGAAAAATATCAAGAAGACATTTTCCACCCAGATCCTTCATTTCAAGACACCAATATGGTCTGATCAACCACCATTCCTAACCCCAATTGCAATGTGGAGCACACTGGGTGTGTTGACTTTTAACAATTCTTGGTCTACATGGCCCTTCTTGTTATCATCCTAGGAAGAACGAATTACAGGTGCTGAAATATGACATACTTAAAGGCTAAAGATGATAGTTGCGATGGACACAGAGCAAACACAATATGATAATATTCTGGACTGTACCACTTTTTCGGACTCCAGGGGGGATGCGTAGAATTTCAGATTGTATCCTGCCTAAGATGGAGACAGAGTGATGATACGTCCTTGGAAAGGAAGTCAAACAAAAGCTATCGACAACTGAGAAAGGACATAAAATAATTATTCCGTCCTGCAAGATAATTCTACTCAGAAAGCCTTCTGCTGCATTATCTACAGGAGGGTAGGGATTGTGGTTTTTTTTCCCTCCCTCCCTCCCTCCCTCCCTCTCTCCCTCCCTCCCACCCCCCCCCAATTCCTTCCTGAAGTTATTCTATCCATCCTTCCACCTCAACCATTGCATTTATAGGTGAAACTCAACCTGTTGTCACTCTGAATGAGGCAATCAATCAAAACTGGTTCCAGAACAGCTTATCTCCACGGACCTTAGATAGACATTCTAGTTTTCATACCCTCATCCATTTTAAAATGTACAGATCCACTTACTGATGGGAAAGGGAAAATCCAGGAAGGAAGCTTTGAAAATGCCAACTCAGCTCACCTACACAGTTTAACCCAGGGGTCTTCCTTAGGCTGGCTGAGGAATTCTGGGAGTTGAAGTCCACAAGTCTTAAAGTTGCCAAGTTTGAAGACCCTTGCTTTAATCTAATCTAGGGGGGAAAATAGCAACTTCATTCACCTCACAGCCTTTTTTTAGTCTTTAGCCTGGTTTTAGTCTTCCCTTAGTCTTACAATGGACAATGCACACAAGATAGAATTAGACTGAATTCCTGTGAAAGACCTTGGGTGAAGAATGGATCTCCCCCCCCCCCCGTGAATGAAGGCCGATATAGAAAATATGATGTCCCAGGAGAAAGGACTTCTTTTCCTTTGACCTTTATTCTTAACATGCCATTACGCAGACTACTACGTCACGCTGATTTATTTACAGTTTATACAATTTGGATCCGAGGTGTACGAATACTACACATTTAAAAAAATATTTGCATTCCATTTTTTTTAAAAAAAAAGAATGTACACAAAAAATAGGGGGTCTAGGCCCCTTCTGCCATAATTACATTTTTTTATACAGTGCAGAATAAAATTTAAAATCGGTGTATCTTCTAAGCTCTATTCTCAGGCAAAAAAATCCCCCAACAAACTGACCTCCCCCCCCCCAAAAAAAGCATCCTTCATGTCTATAAAACACAGGGGCAATGGTGCCCTACAGCTGTTTGATATTTGCCATGATTACTTTAAACATACATACCCACTAACAGTCACACAGTCTTTCTCATCCATACCATTTCTACAGCAAATATTGTCCACACGTTAACCCTTCTAATACTGCTTGCCAAGGCTGCTGTTGGGGTTTATTAAAAAGAAAAGTTTGAATAAATAAGCGTCTGAGCCTTGTTAATCTTTTTTATTCCCATTTTCAACCTTTATTTTCTCAAAGTGCTTTTCTTTTGTAATTTTGTACTGAACATTTAAAATAGGCTTGGTATAGCCAGAAGGAAAGTGAGTCTTAGAACATCAGGCCATTGCACAAGGCCGTCCCGATCATTCCTTTGTGAGGCTGTGGTCTGTTTGAGGGCTTGTGTGTCTGGCTCAGACCACACCAACCCTTCGGATAGAGAAAAACGACACACACAATTTTGGAAGGAAGCCTTCTGGAGTTATTTGGGGATTCGGTTCTCCATTGCTCTGAATGAGGGGTTCAAAGACATGGTGAGCGCATATATTTTCTCCTTAGTGCCAAGTTGGGGGTGGGGGAGGAAAGCCAACATTTGTCAAATGAAGAACTCTGGAAAAAAGCCTTGTCAGTTGGTCTCATGGGAGATTGTTCCTTGAGCCGTTCCTTTCTCGTAGGGTAGATTTGTGTCCCTCCACAGCTAAAATTCATTCTCATCCAGACTCATTAAAATGGAACATTACATGCTGGAATGGGGAGGGGGCAGGATATATCTTTGGAAAGAGATTGGATTTGGACCCTGGAAGAAGGATTCTAAAAGTGGTTGTCAGAAATGGATGTAGCTCTCAGGGCTGGGGGGCTTGGGGGTCCTCCCAAGATGAAAGAAGAGATGCTGCACATTTTTTGGGCCCACCCCAAAAGGCACACCAAAGACATCACTTTTCCACCTTTGCCGAAAGACGGACAGTTCCTTCCATTGGCGTCTTGAATATTTATATACCTCATGAACAGCTAACAGACTAATTTCTGGGGAGGTCTTAGGGCTCCCAATGAAGAAGGGCAGCGGGAAGTCCTACATAGTTTTCACACAGGTATCCCTCGGGATTCTCTCTTCCCCAAGGAAAGCTGGACTCCCCAGCCTCATTGTCACATCACGCAAGGTTTGATGTCTTGATATGTGACTTGCTGGTGGTAGTATGAGCCACTGCCTCCAGAATGCATGGAAGAGGATGCCATGGCGTTGATGGAGAAGACGAATTCTTTCCGATCACACATACTCGGGGACTGGGAATGGTACCGGATTCCTGAAAGCAAAGCAAAGAGAAGGTTGAAATAGCTGTGGGGACAGAAAGAGAAAAATGGCAACACTCTGGAGACATCCTGGTTCAGCATGAAAAAGAAGGAAGGAAGGAAGGAAGGAAGGAAGGAAGGAAGGAAGGAAGGAAGGAAGGAAGGAAGGAAGGGGAATAAAAAGCACCCAACAGTTTTGGCCTATGGTTAGAAAAAATACAGATGGAAAACATCATTGAATGTAACCATTAAATTATAGTTACTCCTAATAAAAGGCTTTATCCAATTATTATTTTCAACTGAATGCATCATATATATGATTTTCTGGTATAATACATGGAACCACAAAATACTACCCACATTTTGACCCAACCAAGTTGTTGATTGCAAAACCAACAAATTGGTTTGAGGCCTTTGAATCAATCGTGCTTAAGCCAGCTATGGCAAACACCAGTCATGGGAACACAATCAAACCAGAGATTTCATCACCTCAAATTGATGCATTCTTTTTGGGGAATGTCCAAATGTTCCCCTTCCTTGGACAGTAGGGTTTAATACCATATCAAAAACTGCTCATAAACTCACAGTCCATTTGGGGGGAAAAAAGCAAACCAAATCTCTTTTGGTTCCCCACCAAAATGCAGGTGGAAGCATGAAAAAAGAAAAAGTTTTGCAAATCTCTTAGGTGAACAACTATATGATTGGTTCATTAGGAATCAAAAGACAGAAGACAAATGAAGTAAATTAATTAATTTACTCTGGATCTCTGGCAAGATTATTATTCATTTTATCTTCCCATGTCAACTGGTCCCACTTCTGTTCCTGGATGGAAAGTGTGTTCCAACTACTAAGCCCAATTAGATTAAATTATTGAATTTGGTTTTCTCCCTCTCCCTTCCCCCCCCCCCTGTGTATCTGTGTTTGGCTTAAGGAAATTCCCACTTGTTCAGAATAGGAATTTTGTCCAATTGCAAATTGCAGGATGGGATGGGACTGTCTGTTTCCTGACTGGCCAAGGAAAGAGAAAATTTGGAGGGGGTGGGGTGGTAACTTTTGTGCATCGCTTTAGCTTTCTTGAGGAACGAGGGGGGGGGACTCTCTTCCCTCCAGCTCGCTGAAAAAACAAACCCCTGATTTATTTATTTTTAAATTGTTCTAATGGCTACATGATTTCTGTGCCCTACCAAAGAGCTGCAACGAATGTAAACAAAGCTTTACCAATCTTGGGTCGCAAACAGACATTTTATTAAAAGCAGAGATCAATCTTGCTCCTTGTCCTCAGGAGGACAGGGGATCTACACCCTTCCCAACCTTTGCATGGTTGAGGCTGCAAAATCAGCGTAAGCCATAAAATAATTTCTAGCCCAGTTATTTACAGATCTGCAGCTGTTGGCAGTTTTTGGAAACATTTAAATCCAAGTAGAAATCAAGTTGGAACATTGGTGTTCCAAGTAACTCTTCCCACTCAGAACTTTTTCTAGACTATTTTTCATGTTCAAGGAGGAATGAGATATTAATTTATCAGGGAGTTTGTCCCCCCCCCCCACAATTTAGTGGGGCTTCTTTCTAAGTAGACATGTACAAGATGGGCCTGCGTCCTACAGCTTGCCCTTTCCAAACAAATAAATCCTTCGTTTTAACTAAAGAAGTACCTCCAGGTCTGCCTGCCTGCCTGCCAAAAGAATTGAGGCATGCGAGCCAGAAACTTGACAAATTAAATTATTTTAAATAATATTTCAAGGTAGCACTTTGTAGGGTGCCTCATAGGATTGAGCCAGTATGCAGCCGGCTTCAGAAGGAGTCTGAGAGAGTAGCAGAGCTTTAACTGGGTTTGTTTATTTGCTTTTTAGAGTTATTTGATAAGGTAAAACTATGCCTAATCACACATTACTGCCAAAGTGCTTTTTTAAAAGTAGTAATAGTAGTTTTTTGCACCTATTCCTATTTCTGTTTGGAAAAGAGTTTCTCCATTTTCTTTAAAAAAAAAATAAATCATTGTAGAATCTAGTAGGGCTTTTTTCCAAACTAGAAAATTGCATTAGTCAGAAAAGGTGCTATTGGTTTTTTTTTTCTGATTTTTTTTTAATTTGGTAAGTGGAAATGTTACACACACCCACATTTATTGTATCTCCTTGACATTTCCAAGAGCCTCCTAGGCCCAAAGTGGATTTTTTTTTAAAAAAAAAAAAATCAAAACTCCAGTTTCCTTTCACACCTCTCTAGAATATCCTCGCCAATACATTGCTAAAATGGCGGAGAGAAGCCGAAGCCTTAAGAAATTGTGCTGGCGGTAATTTCTTCCCCCCAAAATTATTTTTTAAAAAAGTTTCTCTTTCTTTCCCTCCTCAATTTCCCCCCCCCCTTTAAGGCATTCTGCTTGACTGGTGTCCTTTTGTTAATAGCCTGGACAAAATCCGAAGATTGGCGGGATTAACAGATCGCTCCACTTAAGGGCGCGCAAAGACCCACCACACCTTCATCCTGAGGGACAGACAGGAGAGCAGACGGGGGTACCTGGAATAATTGCCCCTCAGTAACGCTGGGACGTGATTTTTAACTTCTTCCATCCCTCATTAAGGCGTTTCTCCTTTCCTATCCGGGTATGTCGGTTGGCTGGTTCATGTCAGAAACGTCACAGTTAAAATAAGGGGTACTATACAGCATAAAATTGAAAATGTTAAAAAAACAAAATGTAAAAAAAAAACAAAACCCCTGTGCACAAATTAAACTGATCATGCCCAGAAACTAGCAACATTCTGTGGCTGCCATGAGATCCTCAAGCGTGCAGGCATCCATATGTGTTTTCTGCAGGTCACCACAAAAGCAAAGAGCAGTAGCCACCGAGTAGCCCCATTTGTTCTGGATCTTGTTGTGCCCCCCCCCCCTCTGCGCAATCTACCCACACTTTCCAATTTATAATTTCGTAATTGCCCATTTCTTCCAACTGGGTAAAGCAGCCCGACGGAGTTGGAGATCCTTTCGCGCCGCGTTGGAGGCAAGATTCCGCGCAACGTTGGGACGCGCGTGCAACGCGCTGGGTTCTCCCTGCCTTAAATCCGAGGTCCGATTTAAGAAGCGGAGGATCTTGCGCCTGCTGGGGAAGGGGGGGGACTCTCTTTGCGCACCCAGCGCACCCCTAGACGGCCGTTGCGGGCCCCAGTCGCAAAACGATTTCCTTTCGACTTTGCGCACTTCTCCCACCCGCGTTCCGCCGCGATTCCAAAGAGATGCGCAAAGCCTCGCGTGTTCCAGGAGGGCGAGGTGAGTTTTGAATGTCCTCTTGTCTTCGGTGGGTGTGTGTGTTGGGCTACCCCACCCACGAGGAATTGAAAGGGGGCTTGGAATCAAAACCACGCACGCCAGGCTGCGCGCCTTTCTAGGCCTCTCTCGGCTTTTCCCCAAACGCTTGTCAGTTTCGCGCTGGAAGGCCTGGTCAGTTTCAAAGCGCCCTTCTCACCTCTTGAGCTGCATTGAGGTCTTACCTGGGTTCTCTCTCCCCACCCAGAGACGGAAAAGAACGCATTTCACTTTCTTTCTTGGAAAACGGCTCTGACCTTCACTCGCCCACCAATTCTTGGATCTTGTGAAGTTCCCGGTGTGTCTCTGCTCAGAAATTGAGTGAATTTTTCCCCCACACCCGTATAGTAGGAAGCCCCCCACCCACCCTTGATCTGCATCCTTTTTGGAACCAGCCAAATTTGCAGGAACACAGGGGGCTGATTAATCCTATTCAATCAGAGTGGAGGGTAAGGAGGGTCTGACGATGCATCAGTTGGAAAGCAAGGAAAAAGTCACAACTCCCACCGCGCACACACACACACACACACCCCGCCAACAAACAAAATTGTCAGGAGGAAAAAGCAAGACGTTTCTGTCTACCCAAGAGAGATCAAAAGAGGCTCCAGATTTCTCAGCGCCGACCTGTCTCAGGAGAGACAGACCCCCGTTGAAATAGCTGATTTCTACAGCTATTTTTTCAAGGCGGCTCTAAAAATGATCACCAGCTGGAAAGGACTTGATTTTATTTTTTTATTTTTTTTTTGTCTGTGAACGCCACGCATTTAACGGCGCGCGCGCGTTTGTAAAAACCTCAGCTCGATTTCACGAGGAGGAAAATTAAATAGGCGGGTCGGGAAAGTTCACTTTAGGGATCGATAAGCAGAGAAGATCGGCTCCTTTGTCGATAGGCACGGTCAGCCTTAATTGTGACTTTGCGAGGGGAGGATTGTTATTCCTACCGTTAATGTCATTTTGCTCTGCAAGTCAAGAAAACGGCTGGCGACCAAACGAAGAGTTTTGATGTTGCTGAAGCTTTTAAAATAGGTGTCCAAAGCGGAATGGCACACACACACCACCCCCCCGAAAGCTCTGATTGCCAGCTGAAAAAGGGGGCCTATTCCAGGCATCCCAACTTTGCTCAGCTGCATTCAGATGACATAATACATTTTGCTGACCTCCAATAGGTTATTTTGGTTTCGTTCTGGGGAGCTCCCTGTATTGTGTGAATCCAGAAAACAAGTTAATCCTGCAGGTAGGTTCATTGTGTTGGGAAAATGCAACATCACATATTCCCAGCAAACTGTGCATGTATGTCGCGCACAAAATTATGAAGCATGATAGGGAAATGATAAAAAAATAAAATAAAATGGATTTACAGTGTCAGTTTGTACCTACAGAGTCTTTCCTCCATCAATAACCTCCTAATAGATAAAATCAGCATAAGAAGCTGGATCACCAATTTAAGCAGAAACAAGAAAGTTAATCATGCTTTCTTAGTAGCTGGGATAGTGATTGCTAAAATTCGTTGTCTTTCCAAAACTTTTAAGGAGAGTTAAAATATAAGTTCCAATCCTATTTCTAAAGGAACTTATTTTCACGTTTTAAAACTGGTCTTGTTTATTTGACCATCAGAACAAGACAATGAAGGGGAAAGAATGAATTCTCAATTATTAATCCCCAGGGCCTTCATTTTGCAGTGGATTGATCTGGGATAATAATCATAATAATAAACATCTGGCTGACTGCAACCAACCATAATAATAATAACGCTCAATAGATGCATAAAAATGCCAGCCATAATAATTAAACTAGATAGCTGGATAAAAATAATAACAATAACAACAACAGCTCTTAGGTCCCTGATTAGGACTTGAACTGTTAGGTTTTTACCTGTCTCAGGCTGTGAATCGAATTGATTAAAATCTTTAATAATAAAAGTAACCATAATAATAGTATCATCAGTAATAGGAGCCCTTAGAGCAGTACCCAAAGGGTACTGCCTAGATATATGGAAATTTTGAACTTATCAGACCTGAATATTCTGACTTTGCAAAAACAAAACAAAACCCTACCCTATTCAGAATTGTCTTTTGATTAGAACTTCAGCTGCTAAGTTTTTACCAGTCGTCCCAAAGTGTGGATCGAATTGAAGATAATAATAATAATAATAATAATAATAATAATAATAATAATAATAATAATAATAATAATAATAATAATAATAATAATAAGCCACCCATAATGATAATAATGCTAGATATAGGATAGGTGGATAAATCCAGTCTAAACATCTGGCTGACTGTGGGACGAATCAAAATAATCATTTCTGTCCAAATTACATTTGCATAACATTTAGGCTGTAGAAAATATTAAAACCAAATGGAAGCGTGTTGGGATTTCAGTCTTTCCTTCTTTCTACCAGGACCCCCACACACAATTACCCTCCCCTATCTACGGTTTCTAAGAAATATTGCAGCGAACCCCAGTTGCCAGGACGGAGCAGGCGGCGGCTAAATTCTTCCCCATCTCCATCTCCCCAGATTTTAGCCCCTTAAAGAGGAGAGAAGCGGGTCAGTTCTAAGGGGGGGGGGTGTCAAAAGGGATTCCTATCCTACATATTTGCGCTTTGCTGCGGCGGATTCTCGTGTTTCGGGTCTCCCTTTGCATTCGGTGCCGGATTTCTTCGAGAGAAAAACAGCATTAATTGAGCAATTTTGGGAAAGCCGGGGAATTCAGGTCGCTGCAGGCAGGCAGTTGAGGGCCCTACCCTTCCTGGCGCCGCCGGATTGACCCGCAACTCAGCTGACTGAAGACCACCCCACCGATTTCCCCTCCCCCCCCGCCGACCCTCTTTCTTCTCCCCTTCAGCTTCGTTTCTAAAGAGTCGCTTTTTCATTAGGCCCCTCCGAGACAAGGTGTCCTTCTAGGAAGCCCCCCCACCTCGTCACCCTCTCGCGGAGGCCTCACTTGGCACTTTTTGTAGGGGGTAACCCCCCTCCCCTTTCCCTCCCCACGAGGAAGAGACGGCAACCTCTTTGGCCCACGGCTGGGGAGAGACAGGGAAGGGATCCGCGCCAGCAGTAATTAAGCTTGTCCCGCGGCCAGAGCTATTCCCTAAGAGAGGCACAACCCGGAATTGCTCGGAGCGGTGCTCGCCTTCCTAGCCTCGCGCCCCCACCCCCCACTCCTCGGGCCTGCGAGACGCCTCGCACGACCACCCGCGTCCCGTCTCTTTTTCTTTCTCCCACCTTCTCAAAGCCGCCCGTTCGCCAGACCCCCACGACTGGCTTTGCCTTCAGCTGGGCGGTGAAAGCGCTCGCTCTTCGGGCCGCTGGCTTCCAACTTTCCCGGAGCCTTGAACCCGCTTCCCCCCCCCCCCAAAGTTCGGGCCCGCCCGCCTCAAGGAAGGAAAGGAAGGAAGGAAGGAAGAAAGGAAGAAAGAAAGAAAGAAAGAAAGAAAGAAAGAAAGAAAGAAAGAAAGAAAGAAAGAAAGAATTCTGAGCACGCCTCTGCGTGGAAAAGCAACAAGATCCGGGCAGCCGCTCTTAGTTCGGATCCTAAGGAATAAATCCGGTCCGGAGTCCCCCGACGCCCGCCCCGGACCCTTACCTTGCAGTTCGGCGGGGTTGTGGCTGTTCTGGTGCAGATAGGGCTGGTCCAAGGAGTGCGAGGAGAGGCCGGACGAGAGCGGGTTCCCCGCGGCGTTGCAAGGCGAGAGGGGCTGCTGCTTGATGTAGGGGGCGCCGCCGTTCAAGCCGGGGGCGGGCGAGGGCGCCCAAGCCGCGGGCCCCGTGCCGGAGTAAACCGAGTGGGGCTCCATCACCCCTCCGCCGGGCAGCAGCGGGGAAGCGGGCACCGAGCCGTCGTGGTGGCCGTAGTCCCCTCCCGCCGAGCCGGGCCCGGCCCCTCCGCCGCTGCAGCCGCCCATGTAGGCGTGCGGGTGGCTGCCGTTGGAAGGCAAGTGGGGCACGGAGTGGCCGGCCAGGGCCATGCCGTCCACGTTCACCATGCCCAGGGCGCCCCCGTCCAAGGGCAGGCTGCTGGGCGGGCAGGAGGGCCCCTGGAAGCCGTAGCTGTCGGGGAGGTGGTTGAAATTCAGGTTCATCATGCTGTACATGGGCTTCAAGGCCTGGCACTTCCTCCTGAAGCCGCGGGGCCGCCGTCGGAAGGAGCCCTCCTCGAACATAAACTCGCTGGCCGGGTCGATGGTCCAGTAGTGGCCCTTGCCCGGCCGGCCCAGCCCTTTGGGCAGCTTGATGAAGCACTCGTTGAGCGAGAGGTTGTGGCGCACCGAGTTCTTCCAGCCCTGGTAGGAGCCGCGGAAGAAGGGGAAGCGCGCCTGCAGGAACTGGTAGATCTCGCTCAGGGTCAGCCGCTTGGACGGCGAGCTCTGGATGGCCATCACGATCAGCGCGATGTAGGAGTAGGGCGGCTTCTCCGGGCGGCGGATGCCCGCGTTGCTCTTCTTGGTCTTGGCGCCGCCGCCGCCGCCGCCGCCGCCGCTGGGCGTCGAGGAGCTGGTGGACGAGGCGGCCTCCATGGCGGCGGCGGCGGCTGGTCCGAGCGGTGGCGGCGGCTGGGGCTTGTCGGAGGCTGCGGACATAGCAAGCGCCCCGGCCTCGGGCAACGGCGGCGGCGGCGGGGGCAGCGGTGGGCGAGAGGCAGGAGCGCGCAGCAGCAGCCCTGCGGTCATCGACGGCTACCGGGCGCCCCCACCCCTCCCTAAGGACAGGCGCCGGGGCGGGGAGGGAGGGAGGGAGGGAGGGGGGCGGCCTCCCCAGGCGCGCGCCCGCCCGCCCGGCTGGCTGCTCCGCGCGCCCGACCGCCCGCGCCTGCCCGCCTGCCTTCCGCCGCCGGGGGCCTGCGATCCGCCGGCCGCTCTTCTTCAAGCGCCGCTGGCGTCGGGCGGCTACCGCGGAGGAACCCCGGAAAAGAGGGAGCGGTGACGCAAAGGCGCGCCCCTCTTGGCAAGGGAGGTGTCCAACTCCCGCCCCTACCCCGGGACTTATTCCCTAGGATCCGAACTAAGAGCGGCTGCCCCGGATCTTGCTGCCTTTCGGCGCAGAGGTGTGCTCAGAATCCCTTCTTTCTTTCTTTCTTTCTTTCTTTCTTTCTTTCTTTCTTTCTTTCTTTCTTTCTTTCTTTCTTTCTTTCTTTCTTTCTTTCTCTGCCTCCTCCTCCTCCTTTTAATTTACAATATCCTTCCTCCTCCTCGCCCTTCCCCCCTCCCGGTTCTTCAGGCTCCGCGGAGGATCCGGCCTTCTCCTCTTCGCTCCCCCCTCCACCCCGCCTGCCCCGCGCTTCCTCCTCCTTCCAGCCCCCCGGGTCTCTGCCAGTAGGGAGCTCCGCCGCCGCCGCCGCCGCCGGTGCTGCTGCTCTGCCTGTGGAGTCGCCGCTCTGCCCCCAGCCGAAGCGGCTGCCTTTCACTTTATCCCGAGTCAGCGGGCGCCTGGCGGCTCTTGACAGCGCGACGTAAGAGGCAGAGGGAGCAGACCCCGCCCCCGCGCCCCTTGCCCTTGCCCCCCCCCTCGCCGCCGCCGCTCAACTCCACTCAACATTGGTGGGCGAGGAAAGCCGCTCCTCCTCTGCTCCAACCCGGAGCCGCTCTGAAACGGCTCGCCCTCCCCGCGCCCCCCCTCCCCTCCCCACCCCCGCCGCCCGCCTTGGCCTGTTGGAAAAGAAGGACTTCGCCGCTGCCCCGCGCGCGCGCGCGCCGTCTCCGGGAAGGCCTTCACACAACCCGGAACGCAACGCGCGTTCGCCCTTGGGAGCCGCTCCGCTCTTTCGGAGAGACAGTGAGAAGCCAAAGAGAGCCCCCACTTTTCTCCCCCGGGGAAAGTGGGGAGAACGTTTCTCCTCCTACCTCTGCTAAACCCCCCCCCGCGCGCGCGCACACACACACACACACATCTACGGGAATGCTGTAGAGTTACTGCGAGGCCGGTTCTAGGCCTCTGCTCGGCGGCCCCCTCCCTCGAAAGCTCCCGCTGGGGGACGGCGCATCCCCGGCCAGCCGATTTACTGCAGCAAAGGACGCATCTTTTGGCTTAGTGCCCGGAAGATCCGGCTTAAGATGTTACTGAATCCCCATGCAACATCTAGCAGACCCTTCCCTTCTCTTCACCCCCCCGCCCCGACCACTACCTTTTTGAAAATTTGAAGTGGGGAAGTGGGAAGGAGATATGCCCACGCAAAATAGTGTATCTTCTCCCTGGTCCGTTTACGATCCGTTTTTTTTAAATGCCACCCTTTCGCTGGGCAGATGTGACGTTTATGATGTTTATTTGTAGCAGAAAAGCTGATCCTGACGATGGGTTGGGTTACCGCCCCCCCCCCGGAACCTCAGCCGCCGCGGGAGACACGAACCGAAGGAGGGGAACACTCTCGCATCTCTTCCTTTCCCCCCCAAAAAAATTCCACAACCGTTGCAAACGTAGGCGGGTGTACTTGTGCGTTGGTGACACTCACCTCCGAGGTGTTCCATCTTTAAATGCATGAAATGAAAACAAACAAACAAAACACGTTTCAGAGAGGCTGATTTGAATCAGCCCCTCAGGAAAAGAAAAGGGGGGGAAAAAACACAAATTAGCCAACAACGTTGATTATACAACATTGTTTACACACACCCCACCGAAAAGGGAGAAAACGATCGAATAGATCAACTTAAGACTGATTCCCTCTCTCTCTGTCTCTCTCTCTTTCTCTCTCTCTGTCTCTCTCCCCTCCCTGTCTTTCTTTTAAGCGGTGAGTTTAGAACTCAGCTCACCGCCCCCCCCCTCCAAAAAAAAAATGAAAGAAGGGAAGAAAAAAGGCCCATGTTTCTGATTCCTTCGCGAGATACAGAAAGACAAGAAGGCCAGGATGTTTACACAAAGCAACGTAAACAGTCCAGAGGCTTCTCCCCCTTTCCCTCCCCCTCCCCTCTGGCGGGGCTCAGAATGGCCCACACAGTTTAAATTGCTGTTTGTTAGGGCTTTCTCTCTTCCCCCTCCCTCTCCCCCACCAGCTGAAACATTTTCTTCTGGGGAGAAAAAAAAAAAAAGGATCGAAGACGTCGGGATGGTTGCATTCTCCCGAGCACCGGGTGTCACACACGCGCGCACGCACGCAGGGCTGTGTTTGTTCAGCGCGTCCACACAAACAACCCCTGAATGAAGGGGTGTGTGTGTGTGTGGAAAAGCCAAGCCAGGATTTTCTTGGTTTCCTTCATCCTCCCTCCTTTTTTTTTTTTTTTAATGAAACTCCCCGGAGCTTCTTTACATCTACTCTCCGGCCTGCAAAGTCACCCATCAAGGTAAGCCACTTACGCACCTCGCATCCTCTCCGCAGGCGCGCGTGGTAAATTTGGCACAATTAAGTTGTTGAAGGGGGTCGGGGCCGGAGGGCGGAGGCGGAGAGTTTTTAACTTCAGCACCTAATGGTTGTGGGGGGGCGGGGGGGTTGGAGGTGGAAGGAAAAAGATCAACAGGTCTGCCCCCCCCCATGCTTTCTTTTCCCTGTTTCTTTGTAGCCTAAAAGTGCTGAAGGCCCCGTGCGTTTAAACTTAAGGATCGTCAGCTAAAAAGTCTCCCTTAGGGACGCGAATTCCTGCCTGGGGGGGGGGTGGGGGGGGGTGAGAAGGGAATGAGGGAGAGGCACGCTTTTCCCAAGGCCTTCCTCTAAAAGAAAACTTTTGATTTTTCGGGCCGGTTTTGGGATCCCGCTGCGAACGAGGCATCGCCCGTCTGCGGGGCGCCTCGCACGTCTGTGAGACCACCCGGAGCCACTTCACTTCAGAAACCGATTTATCTGCCCCCACAACCGCCTTTCTTCTCTCGCTGATAAAAAAGGGGGGGGGAGGCGACGAGGGATTTCCTCTCCCCCCCCCCCATCAAGTTTCTCAACCGCAGCAGAAGCGGCCTTTTGGATCCTCACCGGTTGGGCGAGGAGGGGGCTGTGGGGCGAAAAAAAGGACTGCCCCCCCGCTCCCCAGTCTCTTTGCAACCCGAGGCCGGCCCGCGCAACGAACAGGCTCCGCTGCGGGGCTGCCCTTGCACAAGGCTGGCAGCGAAAAGCAGGGAGAGGGCGAGGTATATTGCAAGGTTGCGCCTTCCTGGCAGGGTCGTTTTTGGTGTGGGGTCTAAAGGAAAGCGGGGGGGGGGAGGAGGAGGGGGAGACTTTTTCTGCTCAGGTAATCCGTTCACGGTCTGGTTTAAGGTTGGAAAACGTGACTTGGATTGCATGATTTGAGTAACGGAGGTGCGTTTGTGTGTCTGTGTTGGTGTCTCTCTCCGTGTGTGCGCGTGTTTGGGGATCGATACACCCAGGTGCACAGACGTCCCCCGCCTGTGAGGATCCCGCCGCAACAGCTTTGCGCACCGGGCGTTCTTCGTCGCAACTTTCTCTTGGGGCTTAGGACAGAGGCGGCGCCTGTTCTGCAGCCGGCTGGTGCAAGGCTTCGCTAGGAAGCCCGGTGAAGGAAGCCAGGTGTGGGGGGGGGAGAAAAAAAGGGGGGGGTAAAGCAAAGGAAAAGTCCCGTGAAACTGCCGCCTTTGCGTGCAGAGGGCTCGCTTCTCCAAACCACCTAGCCAGAGCCGGGAGAGGCCTGCATCCTCGCGGCTGCACGCCGTTCTGGGCAGAGGCCTCACCCCGAGCGTGACTCCTTTTCCCTGCAAAACGCCAGCAGTGGATGGGTCGCTAAGCCTTTCAGAGCTGCGGGACTTCTCGCGACCGAGCAGGCGGGCTTGTCTAGAAGCCTTTTGGTTGTCAGAACTCAGCAGCGCTCGGGCCCAATCTAGCCCGACTCATCTCCCCCTTCCGTCGCTGGAACTGGTTTTTCCCTTGTCCCGCTCGCCTTGGTTTGCCTTTCCCGCTGCGCAAGTTGGGGAAACGCACCGGCGGGGCCCAGACTACCGATTCCCCAGCTGTTCTCTTTCTTTCTCCGGTTGCGAGGGTCTCAAAAGCAGCTCCGGTAAGCCAGCTTCTGCCCTTGAAAAAGGCCGGAGCATTTTGGCGCAGGGAAAGCTACCTCAGCCTTGGTCGGGTTTTGAGTTAGGCCTTCTTGGCAGGTAGCCGCCGCTGCCGCGCCTTGGCTGACCTTCCTCGTCCTCCCCTTCATCCTCCAAATCTCAGCCCCTCACTCGGTGGTGAGAAGACCCCTGCGTTGGGTTTGTTTGTGGTTTTGTGATAGAAGGGTGATTTGAGCCAGCTAGAACAGACTTCTTCACTGGCCAAGTGCGGTTGGATCCACACAAGGAATTTGTCTCCGGTGCTTAAGCTTGCAGTGTACATACAAGTAGTAGTAGACCCTTGCAAATAAATCCCCCCCCCTTTTGTCTGACCAAGAGATTCGGCTTCCAAAAGAGGAGTGGGCCGGATCCAGGCAGGCACGGGAGCTAAAATGTTCTTAGCTGGGTGCGCTGGGAGGCTGAGATCCTACAGCCTTGCATCTGGATCAAGGTGAATAAGATGGGGGCTATTAAAATCTGTGTGGTGAAATGCCCCCCATCCCTCTAATATTCGCTTTCCTTTGGCGAGCAAGCCTGGTGGGCTTCCTTCTAAATAGGCCCATTTAGGATCGATTTTCTCCCAAGGAAAGCTTAAGGCGCATCACTGGATCGTGTTTTGGGATCGAAAGGGGTGGGTGGGGTGGGGGATAAAGTGCAATAACCCACCCCCCTTCCCTGGTCTCACTCGTTATTTAATGCTAAACTCATCGTTTCGCTGCAAAGAAAGGAATACAAAATAATCCCTGGTTAGAACACTGCCTGCCTTCCTTGTTTTAAAGTCCACGGAAGTCGGGCGGCTAATACACGCAAATCCATCAACCAATAAATCAAGTTGCCTCTTTTAAAGCAGCAATCCCATAGATCCTCTAGGGCAGTGTTTCCCAAACTTGACAATTTTAAGGCATGTGGACTTCAACTCCCAGAATTCCACAGCCAGCAACGCTGGCTGTGGAATTCTGGGAGTTGAAGTCCTCATGCCTTAAAATTGTCAAGTTTGGGAAACACTGCTCTAGGGGCTCGATACATTCAGACAACCCTTTGGGAAAAGCGGAGGCAGAAGTTGCCGTGTTCTCTTTTTTTCCCCTCTCTCGTTTTGACCGGGTGTCAGGCGTCGTACAGTGATCTAAGAGGAGACAGATCGGATGGAAATGTAAGAGACTCTGGGTTGGAGAAAAAAGACGCTTTTCAACATTTCCTCCCCCCCCTTGTCGGAAAACCGAGCGCTCCTCCTGGCAGTTCCTTATCAAGACTTTGCCGTTTTAAGGAGCTTTCCTAAAGAGGAAACCCCCGCGGCTTTACTGGGAACGGTGGAACAAACTGGGCCGTCAAAGTGGGAGAGAACAAGGTGGCCAGGATTACACGGAGCGTTATTCCCCCAGTTCTCGGAAAACGGAAGCGGGAGAGATTCACGTTTCTCTTGATTTTTCCAGAAGCGGCTTGGGAGAAGGTGATCCGCTGGAGGAATTTTGCTTGTGTGGTTTTTATACATGGATGCAAAGCCTCCGTAGCACCTGAGTGTTTGTTTTCCTGCAGAGTCTCTCTCTTCTCCCTCCCCCCTCCCTCCCTCTCTCCCTCCCTTCTCTCTCTCTCTTTCTCTCCCTCCCTCCCTTCTCTCTCTCTTTCTCTCCCTCCCTCCCTCCCTTCTCTCTCTCTCTTTCTCTCTCTCCCTCTCATCCAAATTGTTTGCACAACGAGCCACTTCCGGGAGGGAGGCAGAAAAAAGGAACATAATCCTATTTCTTTTCATTTTTAATCCGCGCGGTCTCGCGCTCTGGAGCGAAACCAGCGGGATACCTATTCGCCCAACCTCGCCCTGTCATATTTTGGCCTAAAAAGAGTCGAAACGCAGCTCTCTCTCTCTCTCTCCCTCCCTCTCTCTCTCTCTCCCCCCTCTCTTTCTTCTTCTTCTTCTTCTTCTTCTTCTTCTTCTTCTTCTTCTTCTTCTTCTTCTTCTTCTTCTTCTTCTTCTTCTTCTTCTTCTTCTTCTCCTTCTCCTTCTCCTTCTCCTTCTCCTTCTCCTTCTCCTTCTCCTTCTCCTTCTCCTTCTTCTTCTTCTTCTTCTTCTTCTTCTCCTCTTTTCTCTCCTTCCGCGTCCCCCGTTCCCCTGCAGGTATTTTTACTGGCTAATTGCTTAAGCGAAAGGGTCTCGGCCGGGGAGATCTGGGTGGGGCGGGAGAGTAATTCGAGGCTGGAAATGTATCTGGCTACTATTCTTTAAAAAAAAAAAAAAACAGACTTCGCAGGCGTAGGAAGGCCTGGGTTGACGGGGGGGGGGTCTTCTCTCTGGAAAGGGTCTTGTTTATCAAAGGTCAGACCACCCACGGGCAGGACGGAGTCGGACGCGCGTCGGCGCTCACCCGAGCCTTTGGCCCTGGTTTTCATTAACACTAGGGAGCCAGGCAAGGAAAGAGAGGGCCAGCCTTCTGCACAGCTCTTCCCCTGCCTCGTACACACACACACACACACACAGAGAGAGAGAGAGAGAGAGAGAGAGAGAGAGAGAGAGAGAGGTCCTCCACCGTTTATTCCAGCCTGCGAAAAGAGTGACAAAACCAGGTTGTCACGTGTGTATCCCAGCCCCAAGGTGTTGACAACACTTTGCGAGGGAGCGTGAGGCGCTGGAGGAGCGTGTGCTTGTGTGTGTGTATGGGGGGGGGGGAAGTAACAGGAGAAGCAGATTTTCGGGTGACTTCCAATTATTAGTAGTAGTGGCACTGGTATGATTTGCACACTATCTGCCAGATCGGGCTGGATTGAAGACTCTCCGATTAACTTTTTGTTTGTTTGTTTGTTTGTTTTGCTTGAAGACGTTTTGCTTCTCACCAAAGAAGCTTCTTCGGCTTCTTCTTCAGAACTGAAAAAGCTTCTTGGATGAGAAGCGAAGGGTCTGCAATGGGGAAAAAAACAACAACGAAGTCCAGTTGCCTCTTGGAAAGAAAAAAAAAAAAGCACCTTTGGGACAACCATGAGCTGGATGAGTGAGAATCTCCATAGACAAGACTTCTCCCAAGAATTGTAATTTGTGCCCTGTTCCCCCCCCCACCCAAAACCCTCAACAATCTTTGGTTCCCCTTCTCCCCCCCAAAAAATAAATTACCGGTATATTGAGACGTCCATTCCTGTGTCCACAAGTACTTTTCCAGATTTATTTACTTACATATTTGTTTGTTTATTGAAAGGGCACCAAGTGCACCAACCACTATATTGGCACCATGGCGAGTGGCAAGTTTCCTTTTTGCCTCACCCCCCCCCCAGTTCTCTTCCTCTTATACCAGTGGTGGCGAACCTATGGCATGCATGCCAGAGG